TCTGCCCTCCCAGTGTGAACTGTCATTTACAGTTTGTCAAAACGCGTGTGTACACCATCAATAAAGAGTAAACTGTCATGTAAAGTTTGTCAAAACGGGTGTGTACAACATCAATAAAGAGTACACTGTCATGTAGAGTTTGTCAAAACGCGTTTGTACAACATCAATAAAGAGTAAACTGACAAGTACATTTTGTCAAAACGCGTGCGTACAACATCAATAAAGAGTAAACAGTCATGTACAGTTTGTCAAAACGCGGGTGTACAACATCAATAAAGAGTAAATTGTCATGTACAGTTTGTCAAAACGCGTGCGTACAACATCAATAAAGAGTAAACTGACAAGTACATTTTGTCAAAACGCGTGCGTACAACATCAATAAAGATTAAACTGTCATGTACAGTTTGTCAAACGCGTGTGTACATCATCAATAAAGAGTAAACTGTCATGTACAGTTTGTCAAACGCGTGTGTACATCATCAATAAAGAGTAAACAGTCAGTTTGTCAAAACGCGTGTGTACACCATCAATAAAGAGTAAACTGTCATGTACAGTTTGTCAAACGCGTGTGTACATCATCAATAAAGAGTAAACAGTCAGTTTGTCAAAACGCGTGTGTATAACATCAATAAAGAGTAAACTGTCATGAACATTTTGTCAAAACGCTTGTGTACAAAATCAATAAAGAGTAAACTGTCATGTACAGTTTGTCAAACGCGTGTGTACATCATCAATAAAGAGAAAACTGTCAGTTTGTCAAAACGCGTGCGTAGAACATCAATAAAGAGTAAACTGTCATGAACATTTTGTCAAAACGCTTGTGTACAAAATCAATAAAGAGTAAACTGTCATGTTCAGTTTGACAAAACGCGTGTGTACATCATCAATAAAGAGAAAACTGTCAGTTTGTCAAAACGCGTGTGTACAACAACAATAAAGAGTAAACTGTCAGTTTGTCAAAACGCGTGCGTACATCATCAATAAAGAGTAAACTGTCAGCAACAACATCCGTCTGCCCTCCCAGCATGAACTGTCATTTACAGTTTGTCAAAACGCGTGCGTACAACATCAATAAAGAGTAAACTGTCATGAACATTTTGTCAAAACGCGTGTGTATAACATCAATAAAGAGTAAACTGTCAGTTTGTCAAAACACGTGTGTTCAACAACAATAAAGAGTAAACTGTCAGTTTGGCAAAACACGTGTGTACAACATCAATAAAGAGTGAGTAAACTGTCAGTTTGTCAAAACACGTGTGTTCAACAACAATAAAGAGTAAACTGTCAGTTTGTCAAAACGCGTGTGTACAACATCAATAAAGATTCACTGTCATGTACAGTTTGTCAAAACGCGTGCGTACAACATCAATAAAGAGTAAACTGTCATGTACAGTTTGTCAAAACGCGTGTGTACATCATCAATAAAGAGTAAACTGTCATGTACAGTTTGTCAAAACGCGTGTGTACATCATCAATAAAGAGTAAACAGTCAGTTTGTCAAAACGCGTGTGTACAACATTAATAAAGAGTAAACTGTCAGTTTGTCAAAACGCGTGTGTACAACATCATTAAAGAGTAAACTGTCAGTTTGTCAAAACACGTGTGTGCAACATCAATAAAGAGTAAACTGTCAGTTTGTCAAAACACGTGTGTTCAACAACAATAAAGAGTAAACTGTCAGTTTGTCAAAACACGTGTGTACAACATCAATAAAGAGTAAACTGTAATGTACAGTTTGTCAAAACGCGTGTGTACAACATCAATAAAGAGTAAACTGTCAGTTTGTCAAAACGCGTGCGTAGAACATCAATAAAGAGTAAACTGTCATGTACAGTTTGTCAAAACACGTGTGTACAACATCAATAAAGAGTAAATTGTCATGTACAGTTTGTCAAAACACGTGTGTACAACATGAATAAAGAGTAAACTGTCATGTACAGTTTTTCAAAACGCGTGTGTACAACATTAATAAAGAGTAAACTGTCATGTACAGTTTGTCAAAACACGTGTGAACAACACCAATAAAGAGTAAACTGTCATGTACAGTTTGTCAAAACGCGTGTGTACAACATCAATAAAAAGTAAACTGTCATGTACAGTTTGTCAAAACGCGTGCGTACAACATCAATAACGAGTAAACTGTCATGCAGTTTGTCAAAACGCGTGTGTACAACATTAATAAAGAGTAAACTGTCATGTATAGTTTGTCAAAACACGTGTGTACAACATCAATAAAGAGTAAACTGACAAGTACATTTTGTCAAAACGCGTGCGTACAACATCAATAAAGAGTAAACTGTCAGTTTGTCAAAACACGTGTGTTCAACAACAATAAAGAGTAAACTGTCAGTTTGTCAAAACGCGTGTGTACAACATTAATAAAGAGTAAACTGTCATGTACAGTTCGTCAAAACGCGTGTGTACAACATCAATAAATAGTAAACTGTCATGTACAGTTTGTCAACACACGTGTGGACAACATCAATAAAGAGTAAACTGTCAGTTTGTCAAAACGCGTGTGTACAACATTAATAAAGAGTAAACTGTCATGTATAGTTTGTCAAAACACGTGTGTATAACATCAATAAAGATTAAACGGTCAGTTTGTCAAAACACGTGTGTTCAACAACAATAAAGAGTAAACTGTCAGTTTGTCAAAACGCGTGTGTACATCATCAATATAAAGTAAACTGTCATGTACAGTTTGTCAAAACCCGTGTGTACAACATCAATAAAGAGTAATCTGTCATGTACAGTTTGTCAAAACGCGTGTGTACAACATTAATAAAGAGTAAACTGTCATGTACAGTTTTTCAAAACGCGTGTGTACATCATCAATATAGAGTAAACTGTCATGTACAGTTTGTCACAACGCGTGTGTACAACATCAATAAAGAGTAATCTGTCATGTACAGTTTGTCAAAACGCGTGTGTACATCATCAATAAAGAGTAAACTGTCAGTTTGTCGAAACGCGTGCGTAGAATATCAATAAAGAGTAAACTGTCATGTACGGTTTGTCAAAACACGTGTGTACAACATGAATAAAGAGTAAACTGTCATGTACAGTTTGACAAAACACGTGTGTACAACATCAATAAATAGTAAACTGTCATGTACAGTTTGTCAAAACACGGGTGTACAACATCAATAAAGAGTAAACTGACAAGTACATTTTGTCAAAACGCGTGCGTACAACATCAATAACGAGTAAACTGTCATGCAGTTTGTCAAAACGCGTGGGTACAACATCAATAAAGAGTAAACTGTCATGTACAGTTTGTTAAAACGCGTGTGTACAGCATCTTTAGAGTAGTAATAGTAATTTGACGGCTGATATGGGCTGTCGTATAAAATAGTCCGTGAAAAACTGGATTCATCTGCGCGATCCTGACCTCAACCTCACGAATATGCAAAACGGGGCACAACGGCTTAGAAAAAGCATATTGTTTTTGAGGAAACAGAAACCATGCCTGCGTAAGGGCATGTATTTTACGTGGATATAGTAGCCATTCCAGTACATCATTGGGGACGATATATTTTACTAAGTAACGTCTAAACAATATTACCCACAGCGACCTGGGAATTCGTTACAGTACATAAAACTATATTTGGATCTGAACTGATGTGTTTAATAGAACATTACACGTTTTATCGGTTAAGATCAACTTCCGGTAAATATGTCACCCAAAATGATGGTATTCGTGTATCTACCAATAGTTATAATGTAATCCTTGTATAAAATCTGGATCACTTTGGAGCCCCACCTCTTACAACACTGACTTATCTTACTATTCCATGCTTACAGTAACTTAGAGGTCTTTATATCATACTCGTGGACCAATCGTGTAGTGACGGAAACGTCTGTTTCACAATGTTGCGAGGCCTAACAGACCTCATCCAGGAACAAAAACATGAAAAATGAAGTTTGAAAAGGTCTGAAATGCACACATAACAGTTATAGTTTCACTGAACTGACACAGGCTGTCATTAGAAAATCTTCCTCTTAAACTCCCCTTTGTGGAAACGCTCCATTGTACCTCAAATAACTTTTAACTCGTGGTTCTATTGTTTTTCAAGTACATTTTCTATACTCATATAAAAATGCAAATTTAAATCTCAATCGGGAACAGTCCGCACTTACTGTAAACGAGATCGTTTTTATAAAGAATTTCTCAACTGCATTTTACTACTACGGAAAATACTACTTTTAACTGTTTCACGAGTGACTCAGTATTGTACAATATATGCATGTTGCGTAGGCGTAGCACGAGGCCTAGAAGACGTCAAGGAACAGAAATGAAGTTTGAAAAGGTCTGAAATGCGGTCTCCTGAGTTCTCGTGACAACTTGCAATTAATTGCTAGTCTTATTAAAGATGAAAACGGCCACCTTAATGGTGTTTTTTTTCCCATTTCTCTCTCTTTCTCTCCACATAACAGTTAATTAAAAAAGAAGAAAGTGGCCACCTCTCTCTCTCTCTCTCACACACACACACATAACAGTTAAAGTTATACTGAACTGACACTGGCTGTCATTAGAAAATCGTCCTCATAAACTCCCCTTTGTGGAAACGCTCCGGTGTACTTCAAATAACTTTTAAACCGTTGCTCTATTGTTTTTCAAGTATTTTTTCAAGTCCGCACTTTCTGTAAACAAGATAAACTGGCTACCAGCTCCCAAGTTTTTAAGAAGAATTTCTAAACTGCAATTTACTACTAGCTTATCTCCATCTAGTTTAGAACTTAAAAAATAAATTATTAGTTGTTTTTTTTAAATAAAGTCTATAAACAAGAAAATACTCCGATATTTCTTCGTTTACGGAAAGTGCCGACGGTTTGAAATTGCAATCTGGCAATATAAGTAGCTTTTCCGAAATCACTAACCACCGTCACATGCGGAGACCGATGTTTTAAATCTGCATTATTTTTGGAGCAATTTTAAAATTGAAGGTGAATGTGCCATACGTTTTCTTCGTCAACAAATGAAAACCAATGCATCATTTATAGATTGGTAGTTTTTTTTATTGTCAGGAATACCGTAATATAATAATAATTTTGACTCTAAATGAAATAGATCTATAGACCTATATCTTACAATCAAAAAATACGGAGAGGGTGAGTAAACACTCTGGTCTATGATCACACATAATTGTCTATTTCATATTTGGTTTTATTTTTGTTCAACATACACAATAATTCTCTATAAATTGGATGGAGAATTCCCTGTCGAAATTATTTCACGTTTCACACACACGTAAACAAAGTATGGGAATCCCCCTATTTATCTTGGATAATTCACAGACGTATAGACAATACATGTGGAATTCCCTGTCTATTTCACGTTTCGCACACATGTAAAAAGACGTATGGGAATCTCCCTATTTATCTTGGATAATTCACAGACGTTAAGACATACAATTGGAGGGGAATTCCCTATCTATCTCACGTTTCACACAATATTTATCTTCTATATTCCTTACAGGTGCAGACAATATGAGTCGAATTCCATATTTATTCAAAATGGCACGTAGACAATACATTGGGAATTCCCTATATACCTTGTATATTTCATACTGGTATAGACAATAGCAGAAGTATCACTATAAACTATATATATATAAATATAGCTTTTACATGAATCCCCTATATTTAATATACACAATACAAGGGGAATCCGGTATTTCTTGGAAAGTTTCACTTATGTGTACACAATACAAGGGCAATCCCATATCTATTGGAAAGTTTCACATATGTGTACAAAATACAAGGGGAGCCCCCATTTATTGGAAAGTTTCACATATGTGTACGAAATACAAGGGGATTCCCCTTTTATTGGAAAGTTTTACATATGTGTACGAAATACAAGGGGAATCCCCCATTTATTGGAAAGTTTCACATATGTGTACGAAATACAAGGGGAATCCCCCCCATTTATTGGAAAATTTCACATATGTGTACGAAATACAAGGGAAATCCCCAATTTATTGGAAAGTTTCACATATGTGTACGAAATACAAGGGGAATCCCCTCAATTTATTGGAAAATTTCACATATTAGTACAACATACAAGGGGAATCCCCCATTTATTGGAAAGTTTCACATATGCATAAACAATACAAGGGGAATCCCCCATTTATTGGAAAGTTTCACATATGTGTAAACAATACAAGGGGAATCTCCTATTTGATTATTGTACACAATACAAGAGCATTCCCCTAAAAGGGAACCCTCTTTCTATTGGAAGGTTTCCTATACGTGTACACAGTACAAAGGCAATTCCCTATTGAAATTAAGGTTTAATACACTTGCACACAATAAAATGGGAATCCCCTATTTATTGAAGAATTTCATACACACATGTACAAAATATACATATAAATTCTTATTAATCTTCTGTATTTAAACCACAAGTGTTGAATGCCAAAACAGCATTATCTCCCTTCATTCATTTATTTTAAAGTGACACACTATGTAAAGCTCAATGCGATTGTATATAATCCAAACAAATTTGGAAATTACAGGTGGTTTACACACACACAAAAAGAGACGTGTTAGGTTTTCTCGTGTTAGGTTTTTCTCGAAGCTCTTAAATAGGCCTACGCCATTCAACAGTAAACATTTGGTGAGCCTTGCTGACTTTTGGTTAACTCTGTCCAAGATACAGTCTTTATAAGTTTACAACAATTATCAGGTTTCCAGTCAAAGCATACTATTTGTATCATCCAAAATTCAATCCTAAAATCCATAGGAGTTTGAAACAATTATCCAAGTTGGTGGCCATTATGAGACATATAACCTGTAAATAACATGTTGAAAATTCTCATTAATGATATAACAAAAACATATAACTATCACAAAAATATTATCACAAAAACAGTGGAAGACATCATGAAATTGACAACACATTATTGATTAATAAAACATATTCTTGGCTCTGGGCCTGTAGCCATAAAATCATTATCATGCTCAACACAACTCAGATTCTGTGATCAATCTCAAATGCTACAATAATTAAAACAAAGTACATAAAGTTATTCCGTTTTTGTTGTGCTTCACTGAGAGCTGTAACGTCAATATTTCCTAAGTTTGTGATTTACTTTTTGAATTTGTTACAAGATCTCTGTAAATTACAAGAAGATGATATGATCACACAACTTGAGTATAAACACAATTTTTTTTTATGACTATAGCCTCCTTCTTTTTGATAAAATATCACAAATACATATCTACTGGTTCAATATTTAACAATGCACTCAAGCAAGCCAAAATAAGAAATTGTATCGCTATGTTGCTTAAGGTAGAAAGTCACATTGCTCTGTTTTGTATCTCCAACGAAGGAGAGTTCCTATCTGTTCAGCTTTTCTTTCGACTTAGATTTGCTTTCCCATTTACAATAATACAGAGTTTTATACAAAAGAAATATATATTTACTATATTACCTTCAATAAGATTCATAAGTTTAGATGTACTTAATATCAAAGTTTTACTTTATACACAAACAATGTGTTTTACACATACTTTGTATATCAATTAAAACTTTGATATTATTTACTAAAACAGTTTCATCAATATTAAATATCTCTGCCAAATGGGGAGGGGGGCTTATCTACTGCTCTGCTAGCCCTGATATGTTTTGCATTAATTTCTTTCTGATATGGTATTGGTCTAAAGACTGAATTGGTACTACAAGTATAAATTCATGATGCAATTTTATTCAGTCATTAGAATATTTCTATTTTAAGGAAGATCTTGCAAACTGCTGCCACAAAAAATAGAATCGCATTGGTAAATGCAACACAGGATTTATAAACGATTTTTTTTTAGAAAACTTAAAGATCACCAGTTGTATAACAATTGTCAAATACATGTACAGCAAACAATGAACTAATTATATCATTAATTCATTAATAATTCATTTTGTATTATAAAACTAAATGTGGATATTTTTCTTATACAAAAATAAACTTAAATACATGTAAAAGAGCCTGAACGTCCATAGATTTAGTATACACTAACAACAATCGCAGAAAAGCGTGCAAGGGGCAACTGAAAATAGAGTGAAAACACATTTTCCCTCGAATAATTTGTTAAAGTGATAAATTTTGATATTCCAAGATTTTTCACAATCTTAAATAGTCAGGGTTAGAAGAAATTTTACACACAAACAAATGAGGTCAGACTTCTGAGGTTCCACATAACACAAACCAAACTAGTCAGACTTCTGAGGTTCGTCTTCATACACAATCCAAAGGCTCCACTTCACATACCAACCAAACATATCAGACTCATAAGGTTTCATTTAACACACAAACCATCAGCTGCCTCACATCCAAGTTACTACTTTACATACAAACTAAAGGGTCCAGACTAACAAGGTTTCACTTTACGCACAATTCAAGGTGGTCTGTTTTTTGAGATTCCAAATTACACACAAACAAAAGAGGTCTGACATATGAGATTCTATTATACATAAAATAGTCTGGACTGACATCTTTCCATTGTACCAAGTGTACATACATATTTAGCTCTTTTCTCACTTTTATTGGAAAACACATACTGTTAACATATTATTTATAGCTAGCAACTAAGAAAATAAATTATTTTGAAAGTGATTACAAAAAAAAAAAAAATATTTTTACCTGTGATTATTTTTTTACAAAAAAATGTTGAAAAAATAGCTTATTTTTTATTGCTCAGGAAAGTCTGTCTGGGAGTCCCTTATTGATTTGATACAGTCATAAATGCCAAACAAAACTATAAAATCAACAGAAAATTTCCTCAAACAAGTTTATGTAGTGGTTTATTATTTCTGTAAATAACGTTGTGCACAACACTTTTCACTTAGTATTGTTTAATCGTAATTATAAGTATGATTGTAGCACATTGTAATTGACCAAGTATTGTTGTGTTTATCTCACAGGATTTTCTAAGATAATTTATACCAGATATATGACTTTGGTATATGCTTTTAATTGCTTCTATTTCATTCAAAACAATTAATTTTCAATTGTTTTGGTGCTAAATATTGCAGAATTCAGTATGCTGGGGAAACACTGAAATTGAGCAGGATAATGGTATTTTATATACTTGTGTACGGTATACTGTACTTCATATGGTAAAAAATATGTATAACAAAAAAATTAAAATAAACCCATTCCATTGACAACAAAAATATCATAATTGCCACAGCCAAGAATGTAAATCGATACAATTTTAGTACAGAACTTATTTTTTGTAAAATAGATTAATTTTAAATGATCTAACAACGTTAAATGTACACACTAAAACAATCCCTGTGCAAAAAAATAAATCTAATTAGCAACGTCACCTCCTCACCAAGGTCGCATCACACCCGTAACACATCCAAAAAACTAGAGTATTGCTATATACCATCCCTACATTACAGACTAGCACAACACATTCAAATTTACCGTGCAACCAACCATACAATGTGAACACACGGCGCATCCATACCAATGCATTCACACATCGAAATTACAAACACTAGGAAATATGAAAACGACAATCACAGCCATGACCTTGAAGTACATTCCATTTTCACATAATACAACCATGTTACAGCATTAAAGTAAGAGATAAGTTCTGATTAACAGTGTCAAACAGTGCTGTGCATGTATGTACAGATCAATCACACATCATTGCATTGTAGGGTTTTGTGACAGTGTGGCATCATAAACCATTAACATACATTCATCAAAGCATTTGCTTCATATAACCAACGGAACATTATAATCATATTTCTGTGAGCTAGTTTTACTAATATGGCACTGTTCTTTAACCCTTTCACCCCTAGGTAGCTTGAGTAGACTCTACCATACATTCATCTGGATGAGTCCATTATGGTCTATAGTGGTGAAAGGGTTAATATGCCTTCTGAAATTATATGTTAAAAGTTTTCAAACAGTGAGGAAAGTATTATTTTTCAAACCGAACTCAAATTTCCACGACCGTTGAGGTCATAGGTCAAGTTTATTGTTATTTATTGTTTTAATTGCTTTTAGTATTTCAACCTTAACTGGTTCACCTGATCTACCCTTGTAAGGGGAATTATCTGACATATTTTCAAAAGATTGTTAACATATACATTTATTTGTAATCATGTGACAATTTTGTGAAAAGAAATTAAATTAGATCTCATTAGTTGTGTAAATATCTTAGTTACGTTAACCTCTTTACCTGTGTTTACTCACGGGACAGTGATCTGAAAATATATTGTGTAAAAATCACACATGTACAAGGTCATATTCCTTGTGCATTACAAGGTATTTCCATACTTTATCATGTTCAAAGTCCAATGTTGGGGTTCAACACTTTAAGAAAGTGTGTTATATTAAACAAAAAAGTTGAGAAAATACATATCACAAGAAAGTCTGATGTCAATATCACCAGCAATCAGCTGTACCCACGCGGAACTACATACTTTTTTACTCTCTCCAGGACGACTGCCATGTGCTGTTTGTAAAGGCGATCGTTACTCAGGTCCACACAACTAAACTTGGTGATAATCTTTCGCACCTGGTCCGGGGCACTCTCAAGGGGAGAGAACCTGAGGAGGACGGGAATGATGGGTTTATTGAATGTCTCGGCTAGTGTAAGGTCTTTCTTGCAGTTGTCACTCTGGAGGTATTTAGGGGTGATACAGCACACAACGACAGCCGATGCCTTCATGTTTCGCTGGATCTGGCTCTGCAGCGTCTCGCCCCCGACCTCCAGCAGCGTGACGCTACTACGACTACTCTTGCTGCTGTGGCCGCGCGGCTGCGTGGTGCTCGCCATGGTTATGTCTGCCCAGCACTGAAGCCCATTGTTCTCTAGCATCTGTTTGATGTCCAGGACCTTCACCTGCATGTCCCACTGGTAGCTGATAAATACCTGAGGTTCGCCATCCGTATGGTACTGAGACTGGCCCCCACCTGTTTATAAACACAAAAACACTATTACGACAAATGAGGTTTGGTTTAATTTTGTTTAACGTCCTATTAACAGCTAATGTAATTTAAGGACGTGCCTCCGTGTATGTAGTGTATGCCTGCTTGCGTGTGTGTATGCAGGAGACAGGGTATGTTAGTGTGCTTGCCTCCTTATGATAGCGCGGATCTGATGCCAACTTCATAGTGCTATCTCAACGAAAATGCTATGCCGACGGCACCAAGCACAGCATTGCGCCCGGTCACATTATACTGACAACTGGTGAACCAGTTGTTACCATTCCCCTTATTGCTGAACATTACGCAGGGAATAACAACTACCATCTACTAAAAATATGAAAAGTTTTTAAAACATACAGTACATATACCCCCACTCCAACTCTGATAAGAAATTGTGCTAAACATGGTGTATAACTAGTCAAGCAGACAATATAGGTCACAGTGACCTACATTTGGTTTATTGGTGTCGTACTCCTCAATATGTAACCACATATGAAGTTTTATGACTTCTGGTCTTCTAGTGCTGTATCAGAGTAATTAGTAAAAATTAAATTAGTAAGAATTAAGTCTTATCAAGTTGTCATATAGACAGATGGACAAGGCTAAAGGCAAATACTCATTAGGTAATGACTCCTCCACTTTGTCCTGGTGATCAACACCTGTATACAGGTATGACATGCTGATAAGTAAGAACATATTTAACCCTTTCACTACTATAGACCCTAATGGACTTGTCCAGATCAATGCATGGTAGAGTTTATTAAAGTTACATAGGGATGAAAGGGTTAAGAATAGACTTGTCAATAAGAATATTCAAATTTTAGATTTTTAAATCTGTCTGCAATTATTCTTTTGCTTTCTGTTAAATTTATACCTGGCGACACAGTGCCAAGAACCTCCAGAGGCTTGAGGCCCTCTGCCATTTTGTTGAGATAGGCCTGCTCCAGGACGACACCGGGAACTCGCCTCAGGGGTTTGATGTGGTGCTCCAATACATCTAGACTCTCATTGTACATCTTTGTCTCAAAGTCCACAGACGGGCACTCACCTGTCAATATATCAACAACTCCTGTAACAGCTAAATACAAGTACTTCAGTATTTATCCATGTTAGAAGTTATCATCTACAACCCCAGCTTTTCAGCAAATAAAAATACAGTAGATTAAATTCATTGTAAACCCTGCACATTGCATACTTGCATACACTGCATACTAGAAAAAAATTCCCATAGTTTTTAACAAACTTTTGCCTTTTTCGCCTTCGACAATGACGGGGAATTTATCAAATGACAGTGAACAATAATACAAAACAAACCATATTAAATATTAAATGTGTAAGGCAAATTAACACTGGGAAAGTACAGTTTTTACCAGTGAAGGGCTTATATTTGACCAGTTGTAAGTTTTATGAAAACAAATACTGTATGCCTCTATTAATGTCGTACGTAGACCGATATTTTCCGTATGATTATTATTTGACTTTAAAATTATCTCTCTTGTCTTACTTACCCAGTACCGCTTTGAGTGAGGCCCTGAAGTTTGTCCAGACATTTTTAAACATGGCAGTGACAAGCTTCTTGCCGAGCCAGTCTGCAAACAAGACCTCGTGGAAGACAAACGGAGAGGTGGTGGACGCCTCTGTCAGGAGCACAACAACTTGGGACGAAGTCGCCATGACTGGACCATTGATGTTTAGGAATTCTTCCTTGGACTTTCCTAGCTTCATGCTGTCATGGTGAACCACCTACAGTACAAAGATGATTCAACTTATTTATCACATAATCGGCCTGTTATCCAGTGAATTCGCCTGTGTGATACTTTTGCATAAAAGTGTCACTAGTGTAATATACCCTGGAGTGTTTTTCATTGACTGTGCCAGGCAGAAATTGATTGTGACGTCATAATATGGACAATGATGTGACATCATAAATTGTGAACGGCCCAACAAAATGGCTGTTTCCGTTTGATTATAAGCCCTCTACATTTTGGCTTTAAAACTTGTCAAAATGTAAGTTTTCCGAGTTATGTGATAAAAAGTATCTTAAATTTATACATGTAGTGAAATACTGACAACAGCGTATAAAAGCTGTAGATATTTAAGGAACCTAATAGATTCTGATGACCTGCATGGACTTTCATGACAGAAGGACATGGGTTACTTTCACAGGTCTCATGACCCTTGTCATGCACCTACAATACAGGGGAGATAACTCACACAACAGACTCTTGCAATAAACACCTATAATAAAGGAAAAGATAGGTCATAACACAATTAAGTTGTCATTATCCATCTACAATTCAGGAAACTGGTAACATCCTAAAAAAGCACGGCCAGACCAGGGTTTGAACCTAGGATCTTCCTAACTCTAGACAGAGGCTCTACCAATTGGATGCCGACAACTGACCCAATCCAGTTCGGCTACATTCCTCTCTCCTTTTTTCAGTCTTAGCCTCCGAAGATATAACTTATAATTTATAACCCAGGTTCAGGTATATATATTTAGGTTTCAATGCTTGAAACAAGGGTTGCATGGTCACAGGCACTACTGTTACAAGAGATGGAAAAAATACATGGCCAGATGCGGGTTCAAAACCAGGAACCTCCAAACTCTAGACGGACACTCAACTAATTAGCTAACTGGTCGTCAACGCCGACCTTTTGATCTCCCCAGTCTAGTTCTGCTACATAAGTATACAAGCTGGTATTAGTCAGTAAATAAAATCACTGCAAGATTTGCAGTATGGAGATCCTTAATTGATCAAATTCATGTATACTAAATACATTTTTCAGTTTCTGTGAGTACCTGGTAACATATAATTCGGAAATCTTCTGATGACCTTGACCTTGAGTAAAAGTTACTTTTATCATCAAAAATTGATTGAGTTATGCACACTAGTCTGTTAACTCATTCACCCCCAAATGTTTAAACTAGACTTGTCCAGTCAGTAAAGTTGAAATATTAATTAAGGGGTGAATGGGTTAAAGCCAATAACATTGGGAATACAAACCCATTACTACAACACAAACACAAGGTTACTTTTTTGTATTATTTTTCAATAGTCAAATTGGAAAAGAAAAAAAGAAAAAAAAAGGTAATCTCTGAAACTAATTACATTAATCCTCAATAACAGACTGATGAAATTCAATCACTGTTATCTAGGATAATAACACATAAACCTATTCATTGAAAATGTCCAGTAAAGATCACTTAACGATAAAATCTATTTACAGGTAAAATTTATTTACGGGTAATATCATTTTACAAGTAATATCTTTTAAAATCAAATTAGCCTTTTGTGACAACTTTTTGATCACTGGCTTTTTTTATTTGATTACGTGTCTGTGTGGGTAGTCAATAACCATATGGCATGGCTTCACGTTTCAATAAACCAGAAAATTAATACTGAATACATATTGAAGAGGTAGCATACATATCCATAGAACGTTCCTATCTTTTTAATGAAGTTTTCAGAATTTTTGAATTGGATTCTTTTAAATTTTGTCATCATATTTATACATTGGTAATGGTGTATTTTTTACTAGATAATTTCTGTGTCTGCAGTATAAAAATTGTGGCTGAATTCACCCTTGACTTCACTCAAAAATTCTTGTCATTCAAAACATTACATTTTACACAGCTTGATAGCTGAACTTTGTACATTATGCTACCATAGCTGTGGGCTGGCTTTGATCTGCATGTGGCGCCTACACAGGTAAGACACGCGGCTGAGAAATTGATATCCAATAACGTTTATCAAGGACCATTTAGAAAATTGATAGAGCACATTGAAAAGAAAATTGTCGACTGAAAGGCCCATGTCATAACCCCATAGCGAGCTTCGATTGTTGATCCACGAAATCGGAAACCCATTGAAAATCTGAATGAACTGTTGTCCCACGAACAATTTATCCGAACTGTCAACATCCATCTGTGACATATACTCGTACATGTAATACATGAAGTGATAAATTAGGCTTGAAATGGCAGGCATACACAGCTAGAACAACAGTGTGACCTGACACCAGTAGAAAGTGAACAATTCTTTGTTAAATAAACTCATTACAATCTCTGTCGAGTTGACCTGTGGTTCGTGTTATTGGATCATGTGAACACTTACCAACACGGGATTATACACATGTTTCACCTGCATTAAGGTAGATTAGTTCGTGGATTTGACACTTGGAGGTGTAATCATCTAACAGACCTTCAGGTCCACTGTTAACCTGATCATACCTTCCCACAACCATTCATTCAGCAATTATTATCATATTGTTAGACAAAAAAACAAACATATTTCAAAATAGAATAGAAATCATATTCTTCAACGAAAATTGAACTTTTTTCCGAAATCTGTCTAGTTTTGTTGTCATATAATTTTCATTTCCCAAGCCAATGCCTCAATTAAAGACAATAGTACAAATCTTTACCGTTTTATTAAATATTTGCATGGCATTGCCATTGTATAATGCTACCTTTAGTTGGCAATCATAGAAATATGAATGACAAAGCCCAGTAACATAAGATCTAAAAATATGCAGTGCACTGGTCAACAAACCAACCATAAGTCAATTTCCCTACAGAAAAGACCTTTTTATACATTAAATCATATATTTGTATTAAATATGAAAAAATATAATACTTTTCATTGTTATTCTAAATATTAAAGTACTTTCGTCTTTCAGTTGACAATAACATTATTCATGGTAGCATTCAAATGTTTCCTATGAATGCCAACTGAAAGCAATTCCATCTTTAGCTGTTGTGTGCATTTAACACAGATCGAGGTATCTAACACGTACATGCTATGATCACTGATCTGTATACATAAGGTTGAAACATTTCAATGAAATGACTTTTCCTTTGACATAGATTCTATACAATAAAACTAAGTCCCAGTGGGCCTCAGAAATTAGTTCGCTATATCAATAGAATTATTTGTTAGCAAGTTTGATGTTCACAGGGCAATTTCTCTGTCAGAGGACACAAAATAAAACCAAAAAGTCACAAAATGCATGTTTACATCAAGTATGTTTAATGTATACTATCATAATTTTTTTATTTTATAAAAAAAAAAAATCGTGTGTACTTCCAACTCATTTGGCAATCAATTAATTCTCCATCAAATTTTTGTAAGGTTTTAAAAATGTTTTAAAATTTAAAACATGGATTTAAAACTCATGTTCTTAAATTTGTTTGCCATCAATGCTATATCACATGTTCATGTATACATAGGATTTGATATCTGCATACCATATTCATAAAGACATCAAATTATTTCCAATATTCTTTCAGGAGCCCAGTGTCCCATTGCGCTGTGTTTTTCCCTATCTACAGTAACCTCCCCTTAACTTTTGATTGGATATATACCTGTAAAACAATTGGGACCACAACATTTCCTTCGGCTAGGTAGCTCAATTGGTTAGCAGTGGCATAGCTTACATGTATGCCTTTATGCTCAAGCAAATATTTTAATGATTTTTCTGTATCATATCTTTTCAATAATTTATTTTTTATGACTTAATAATCAGAAAAAAGGAAAGAATAAAAAAAATCTTCTTGAAAATTTTAGTCCGATAAAGTATAGTGTTAATATGTCTATACACATTGAAAAATCTCGAAAGGTAATTATGTAAATAAAAAACTACAAAATTCAACATTATTCATACAAAAAGTCAGGCTTTACTTATAAATAATCAGACTAAAAGTATTTCCCATAATATATACGAGAGATTGCTTCTAGGGCCTAGTAGAATTCTATTTTCTCCCCCTCCCATATCCTCCCCCTCCTCCGGTGCTACGCACCACGGATGATACACTTGGAAAAATGATTTGCTACGCCACTGGTTAGAGAGATAGTTTAGCAGCGTGAAGTTCAGGGTTCAAATCTAGATCTTAAGCCCCCCCCCCCCCGCCCCCTTTTTGGGGGATTTGTTTTTACAATAAGAAAACTGTTGTTGATTATATTTTGTTCATTTCATCTTAATCATTTTTCATAAAAGTCCTGCAACATCTGGTTTTCTTTTCATAAATGATTTATCAAAGCCAATTTAGTCATGCCGAAAAAACTTTTCAGCTGTACCACTTAAACCTAAAACCTGAAATCAATAAAGGGCAAAACTAGCAAACAGTTAATTTTCCTTTAGATTTCACTCGCACCAAACTGTCAAAAACTGAGGATACAAGAAATATGTAGTCTTAATGCTAATACACCAAGAGGCCTTAAAATAAGTCTCTTAAAAGTATTGCTTTGTCCGGCACTCCTTTTAGGTATCAATGGGCAATCACAATGACGTCCTACATAGGGTATGATTAGCTTGATAGACTCAAGTGACGGATACCACTTTTACATCTAAATAACACTGTTGTCGGCCTCATATAAAAGCATGTACCTTTCCATGTTTTCAGCACATCTTACGACTGATTCGTGACAAACATATGGTAAATTAAACTCGGACTGTGATCAACTTGGGGCCACACAAGAGTTCTTTAACGTAAGGACCACAGTTGATCCCCTCCATGTGGAAATTAGAAAATATGAACCCTTATATTAAAAGTTTAAACCGTTCCCAGTAAATCTCTCATGTACTTGTCACATCTGACATATACTCTCGTTTGAGATAGCGGTGTATTATGTTTGAAGACAGATATTTTCTGTGTAAATATATACTCAACACAGGGTAATAGAAATCGTCTCTCTGTATGTAACCTTTCTCAATGTATTATTACACCTAGGCCTATTACTGATTAGATATACACATCTCCGACCCAAATGTTTATTGTCACCTTTATATTAAATACAAAGTATCACCCTTGTATCAAAACTTAAGTACATCCTTGATTAACTAACTCATCCACCCTTGTAGACACATTTGAACTCCTCCAATTCAAAAGTTGGAATAGTTCATTATGAAATTTCAGGGGTGAATGAGTTAATTAATAATCCAGGCCCTGATAATTAAATATCTTCTTTTCTTTGCTGAATATGTGTTTAGGGAATTTTCAATCTATGTCAAACAATGAACAATTTGTAAGCTATGACTTAAGGATCCCCGTACCACTGCCAAAAACTGAAACTAAGTATTGGAAACTCTTTTATACGGCATTGCTATAGCTTTGGTAAACCATTTCTGCAGGACTTTTATGAGAAATAATAAAGATGAAATGAACAAAACATAATCAACAATAGTGTTGGAGTGAAATCAGCGGGGCTAGACAGGGATTCAAACTCCTGACTTCAGATTGTTCTACTATCGCTCTAACCGATTGAGCTACCTTGTCAACGGAACTGTCCTGGCCCAGTTGTGCTACAGTTTTATTCAAACGGAAGTTAAAGGGAAAAACCATAATGCATTGGGACAGGGATCTTGGTAAGGAAAAAAAAAATATCAGACCCTATTAATAGTTCTGGAGAAGAAGACTTTTTTTAAAATTTTGTAGAAAAATATGAAACATGAATAATGGGTTCAAAATATGGGTATAACAGTTATATGGTATATTTGCATAAATTTTTAGTCACTAAACAATAATTATAACAGTATCATAGTCAAATATGTACTAAAGAAATGGTAAAAATTAACTTAGGTATGTAGTTACGAGTGTGCAGCAGTTTTATATGAAATACATTGAGACACATTTTTGCAACTCATAATAATATAGTGTATTTATCCTACAGTGTTTAATTGTTTTCTATTGAAGATCATGTTTGTAACACAAGTAATTTATTGATACCTTTTCTCCTGTGTTTTTTTTATGTGAAGCAAGAGCGAAAATATGAGAAAAAAATCTAACACACATGTGAATTACCCAAGTGGAAACCATCAAATGTATATAACCTTGAAACAGCAGGAGATTGTCTGAGATTTGTCGTTAAATACTGTTGTGTGTGTCAGGAAATTGGATTGGATGTTACAATCAACTGAATATTTTTATTGATCACTTTTTATGATATCTGTAATTCTATAATCCAGACTGCCCATGGTCACTAGGATTCTACAATTTTGACAACAACAAATTTGACCCCTGTGACCTAGAAATGGGGTCAAGGTCATTTATTTGAACAAACTTGATAGCCCTTCATCTTTGCATGCATGCTAATGACCAAACATCATCACCCTAGTAGGGTTCTTTTTTATTCTCAAGAAGTCATTCACAATAGAAGCATGTGACCTTGAAAATGGGTCAAGGTCATTAATTTACACAAACTTGATTGCTCTTCATTTAAGCATGCTGCTGGTCAATTAACATCATCCTAAGCCTCTTTACTATTCAGAGGAAGTTGTTTAAAGTTTTTAACTCATTTGACCCATGTGACCTAGAAGCTATACTTGGTCAAGGTCATTCATTTGAATGAACATGATATCTTTTCATCTCAGCATGCTACCTGGCCAAATATCACTGCTCTAAGTGACCTTGGTGAGCTAATAACTTGATATAGGAGAGTTCCCAACAGAGCAATTTATATCTTATCAGTGTTTTTGTTACCAAAATTTTACAACAGCCAGTTTCTTTATGAATTGGGAAAATGAAGCATTAATTTTATTCAAATTGGGAAAATATTCATCAGTTTTTGGTCATTTTGGGAAAATAAGACACTTTTAAGCAAGGGGAAAACAGCCTGTATTCGGCAGTAAAACTGAGCAAAAAACTTCACTGCTGATTTGAATGCCAACTTTGTTTATGACAGGATATGAGATTTTAACTTGCACCCATTTACAAATTGTGAAACTCAAAAGGTACATATTTCTCAAAACTAATTATGTTTTCATGTTGAAAAATATTTTTTTAAACTTTAAATCATTTTATTTTGTGCCTTTTGCAAATTTACAACAAAGAGATATATCACGAGACAAGGCTGTAAATCTCTGTAAAATCCACAGTACAAATAGAAGTAGGTGGTACAAACTATGATAGGCTAAGCCACCTGTTGTTTTATATTGATTCAAATGTGATATGAGGAGTGACTAGCGTAAAATGATATACATAATAAAACAATGGCGTCTTCAGTTTCGGTCAATCCATATGATTTAGGCATCCAAACTACACTGAGTAATCCTTCAACCAATAGTTTGTCAATCTTTGGACTGTTATAGTTTGTCAATCTGTGACTGTTATAGTTTGTTAGTCTGTGACTGTTATAGTTTGTCAATCTGTGACTATTACAGTTTGTCAATCTGTGTCTGTTATAGTTTGTCAGTATGTGACAGTTATAGTTTGTCAATCTGTGTCTGTTACAGTTTGTCAATCTGTGACTGTTATAGTTGGTCAGTATGTGACTGTTATAGTTTGTCAATCTGTGGACTGTTACAGTTTGTCAGTATGTGACTGTTACAGTTTGTCAGTATGTGACTGTTACAGTTTGTCAATCTGTGGGACTGTTATAGTTTGTCAGTATATGTGACTGATATAGTTTAACAGTTTGTGACTGTTATAATTTGCCAGTTTGTCGCCTGTTATAGTTTGTCAGTATGTGACTGTTATAGTTTGTCAATCTGTGTCTGTTACAGTTTGTCAATCTGTGGGACTGTTATAGTTTGTCAGTATATGTGACTGATATAGTTTAACAGTTTGTGACTGTTATAATTTGCCAGTTTGTCGCCTGTTATAATTTGTCAGTTTGTCGACTGTTATAATTTGTCAGTTTGTCGACTGTTATAGTTCATCAATTTATGACTGTTATAGTTCATCAATTTGTGACTGTTATAGTTTGTCAGACTGTGAGTGTTTTAATTTGTCAATCTGTGACTGTTATGATTTGTCAGTTTCTCGACTGTTATAATTGGTCAGTTTGTCGACTGTTATAGTTCATCAGTTTGTGACTGTTATAATTTGTCAGTCTGTGACTGTTATAGTTTGTCAGACTGTGACTGTTATAGTTTGTCAGTCTATAACTGTTAAAGTTAGTCAGTTTGTCGACTGCTATAGTTCATCAATTTGTGACTGTTATAGTTTGTCAGACTGTGACTGTTATTATTTGTCAGTTTGTTGACTGTTATAGTTAGTCAGAGATTGTGACTTTTATCGCAGTCTTTTGACCGTTTTTCTCAAGTTAAGATTGAGATGTCAGACTTGTGTTTCCAGTAAACTTTATTTTACAGAAACTAAATTAAGATAACCTCTTCTACAAGTTTTTTACCAGCACTGCTATAACAGGATAGAGAACAGTGTATGATTTATTAAAAGATCAATGAAATATGGTCCCTGCTGTGAGAGACACATGCACAGGTAACAGACAGCTCCACTCAGTGTGCCAAGCTTTCGTATACTTGTATGTATGTGTTGTAACGGCATAGATTTTTAAATTTGAAAATAATGATCTGTGAAATTGAACCACACGCTGAAGTAACAAGTCCATGTATGTGTATATCATCTGTTTGTATGGTTTATTCCTTACCTGCAGATTTTTCTTTTTGAGGTCAGCTTTGATATTTTGTGCAAGTCTGACATCAGCCGGATCATACACCAGGTAGATGACATCAGGTTTGGCTCGTAAAGCGCGAGCTCGTAGGTGCCAGTTGACCTTTTGTTTGTGTTCCGAGTCCAGGGTGATAAGAATCTGCTGCATGATTTTTTTGCGGACAACGCGACTGTCAATTCCTAGATGTTGTATCATGTCGTGGTCCGTCAGCGACATTAGAAGAAATCCATCCACCATATTTTCAGCCAAACTCTGGCGATAAAACTCCTTTATTCCCAAATTGAAGAGCCATTCCTGTAGGTCACTAGCACCCCATTGGCAAATCTTCTTCTTTTTGTACTCCTCTGTGAATTCCGTGTCAGGGGGAGTCACAGGTGTGGGAGGTATGTTCATGGAGGCATATTTTTCTAGTTCTTCCATAATGCCTCCTATCACAACTGACGTTTTCTCAGCTAGACTCTTTTTGAAATGGTCCTTACTTAAATCTACAGCATGTTTAATTAATAAGAAATAGTCTTTAGGAATATCTGTGTTGTCTAAAGGTGAAAAGATGATTGGAAATATGGCTACTGAGTGTGGATCTTGTCTTCGTCTTTGTAGAAGTGTTTTACTTTCGTACATCGACACAGGACATGAAAAGTAACTTGGGGAGAAGAAGAGAATGGAAGCCCGACATTTTTCCACTGCCTCCATGCGGAGAGAGAACCACACAGGGCTGTCAGTATTTTTTTCATCCTTATCAAACCAAATATCCTCTGCAAGATTGTTTTCCTTCAGCTGCCGCACTGTGTCTACCACAAACTTTCTCTCTACAAACCCAGCATCAGGGGAATAGGAAATAAATATACCCCTCTTCACTTTTTTCATTTTTTGAGGGGGAGCCATATGTGGTACCATTTCCTGGCTGTATGTGGTGCCTCCTCCCTCGACTCGCTTGTTACTGTCCATGTGTTGTGTGTTGGTTGAATCCTTTAGAGCCTGTTTTGCTAGCATGTCTCTAGACCTATCCGGTTGAGAACGCACATTCGACACAGAGTCAAACTGGTTGATGTCTTCTGTCTTGTCTTTGATTTCCACAGTCACGGAATTTTCAATCACATCTAACTGTTCTGTATTCATGATTAAGTATTATGATAACAATCACCTTGTTATGTGTGTTTGTAAGTCTGCCTTTGTTTTATAGAAAACTACCTGGATCTTTTACCAGCATGCCTGCACGAGTCCCGAGACATGGTATGGTCGCTTAATCATACCGACTCCCCAGTTCATCTCGGAAAGCAATCGCGCTGATCATCATGACATCGGATTACCTGCACGCTGTCATTGAATACACCATTGGTAGCGTCAGATTATTGATATTTCCTTCGATTTGTTGCTGCAATTTGGTCTTCTGCACTTATTACACTCAAGAGAAGTTCCAATTAGACATTTCCGTCACCGATCACGTTTTTTTCGAGCACATAGAAACCAAACAATAAGGTCGCTTAAGCTAAAGAAATTTGGCTATTCCGTTATTCTCCAGCGATTTATTTTTAAATTAATTCTAACACCATTAGTTCTGTTTATGTTACCTTAACAGTTCCAAATATGAATAATTTATATCATATTATTCGAAATATACATTTCGTTCGTTACTTTGTCCCAAAAATCGTATCTCAATTGTAAACATATATTGTATACGCTGTTCCATGTACCTCCCTCGTTATCACATGGTTTTGGAGTGCAATAAACAAGCTGCTCGATCATGTCTAACCGCTGTATGACCGTGATCAACGAGACGTGTCATTCTTAGCCAATCATCAGGCTGAAGATTTACTGAGTTGTTACAATGCGTACTAAATAATACACCAGTAATTTATACGTTGTGTTAATCTGAGTGACCGAACATTGGTAAGCCCGATGTCAACAAAGCTAACCACGTGTTAGAAAATCAACGAAGCGTGGATAACCTCGTTTTGCATGTCAACGTGTTCGGTAATGAGATTCAAGATGGAGACGCCTAACTAGGTTTTCGTGGTTAAGTCGTTTTTTGTCTTTTAATAGATCAGTAATTAAAGTTAACCTGAATCAGAAGTATGCAGGAGGAATGAGGAGTATTGCAGCTAGGTGTTTCACGGCAGGTTAGTAACCGGTAATTATTACCACAGATATCAAACAAAGAGATGAGTGCACAGACGAGGTGTCACCGACCGCGAACAACGTTAAACGTTAACCCAAACAATGGATTTTTTTATTGTATGTTTGTATCAGCAATAATGAGCAATTTTAGAAAAATAAAGAGCCTGAACCGTACTGATAATGATAATAAGCATAGTGCTCTTCCAAATGGAACATAAATATACGTGTTCTGTCCTCGGTTAAAATAAAATTAGTTTAAATTATATTTTTTAATTTCCCCAAAATTTGTTCATTGGAAAAAATATAAGAATGCTGAATATTTGGAAAAAAATACAATCTAGAAAAAGAAAAAATTGACATTATTATAATGTATGCCATGCGTCTTTGAGAAATGAAATACTTTTTCAACTTAATATATTTTTATATTAATTATGTACAATAAATAATCATTAGAAAATTATAGAAGATTTTCCATTTAAAATGCATATTGTAATTTGGTGTGTGCCTGCACACACATACTTGTATATGTATGTGTATTGTTATCATAATAAATTTTGAATACCATGTCAACATGACATTTAGCCAATGAAATAATATGTCGGTATGTGTTTAATTCAGATATCATGATATGTGTCTCATTAAAATACTGATTTCAGTTAACACAGAGAGCCCTAGGGCTGTGCGGCAGCTATACAGCCAGTGAGCTGTAGGGACAATGTCAGGGCGTGTTGGGGGTGGCCGACAAATGTTCTCCATAGAGCAGATTGAGTTGATACGGAGGCTGAGGAACAGCGGTATTACCAAGGAGGAGGTGGCTCAGGCGTTTGATTCGTTTGACCGTTTAGACAATGAGTTAGGACTGCTGTATAGCGTGCCAGTGTCCCTGTCTCAGCCAGCTGTGCCGGTCCGTAACCACACCCATGAACCCTCCCATCCTCGTACACCAGTGTCCACAATCGCCAGGACAAGTCACCCTGGTTCGATAATAGGCCAAGGTGATCATTCCTCACTGTCATCCACACAGGCAAATAATGTCCCTGCCTCCCATCAACACAACGTCCCCAACTTCCGATCTCATCCAGTCCCTAATCCAGTGTACCCAGTGTCGATGACAGCAAATACCCGTATACACTCTCAACCAGCATTCCCTGAACGTCAGGCCCCTAAGCGACCACGCACTGAAACAATAGACCTTGTTGACGACATAGACAACACCGTTACTTGTGTTATTGATGAGGAAAATAGCAACACCAGCTCAGCATCTGCATCAAACATCTCTGAAGAAATTGCCACCGAGCTACGAGAATTTTTAAAGTAGGTATTTTTTCTGTTCACTCCTCAATATCAACAATGATGTAACTCTTTTAAACCAAATTTTATTTTTATTTAATCAAATAGATCATTTATCCTATGCAACCAATAGAAGAAGCAGAAAACAATGGTATTGATGCATGTATATATATAGATAAATTGTTCTGAAAATACTTTCAATACATAATAGACAACCACAAAATAAAATGTATGCATTTTTTCTATCAACATCCCATATGTTTCTGACTTTCACAGGCAAGGTGTCCAGAAAGCTGGGGATGAGGTTCGCTGGTTTGTGAGTCAGTACAACATACAGCTGGGACAGATCGCCTCGATGACAGGTAGGTACATTGCAAGACGTGGGAGGGGCCTCAACATGTACACTAGGTTATTTACTAGAAGGGAAGGATTAGTACCAGGGTGTTAACATTTACTAAGGCCACAACATGACAAGTGGTTATTTACTATAGGGGTTGAGTTGGTACCAGGGCTTTCATATTCACAGAGGAATACATCCTTATAGATGGGTAGTTATGATGGGTATTTACTGAAAAGAAGGTCCTCGTTGTAATTGGTTATAATTATAAGTTTGGTACCTTTAATGTGCATGTTTGTACATGTTACTTCTATAAAATGTGAGCAACTTTTACATGTATCGATAAACGGAAATAGGAAGTACATCCCTAGTTGAAAATCCAATGTAGGATCGAGACAGTATCACAATGTCCGCATATTCTAATGTTTAATCTTAAACTGATGAATATTGTATGTTTATTATTGACAGAACAGTGTGTTCTCTCAATATTAAAGTATTTCAAAGCAATCCAGGCATTAATTCAGTTGGTTTTTTATCAATGAGTCACATGTGTCCATTTTTTCTGTACTTCAGGAAACCGGCTACCTATTTCACTACTAGGAAGTTTTTCAAGAAAGATAACTCCTACATGCAATTATTATGTGTATATGGTTTTATTATAAAATGTCAATTTTTTATCCTTTATAGATAATTTATTTAACACAATTTCAGCATTTGTTAAATTGATATACATTAATGCAATACTTATCTATTGCAGTATCATTTTTATTGACATTATTTTGCAAATAATTGTGTCTTTCATTTTTTTTCTTCAATATTCACTCCTTTTTACATAAATTTCCATTTAAAATCCTTAAAATTCTGACAACCTATACTTTTTTTGAGGCAGAACATTTTCTTTACTCCAACGCAATATAACTACAAAATTTGAAGAAATTCTTTTGAGAAATGGTGACACAAACCTATTACCTTAAGGTGTAAGGCCATTGAGTCAATTGTATTAAAATTAAAATATAGTTCAACTTTAGTAATCATATAACATACCTTAGTGTGCAAGCAGAAATATGTAACACTGCTTTGTTGTATGGTTTCAGGCCAAACTTTTGCCACTACTACCCAGTTTTTACAGGGAGAATACAGTGGTATTCCTCAACACTGTATGCAGAGTGTCTTTGCCTGGTACCTCACCTACAAGAAAACCGTGTCTAATTCCCCACCTCAACCAACTTCATCCTCTCCAGGCAGCACACAATCAGGTGAGTAAATTAAATTGGCATTAGCACTAAGAAATCTAGATTGAACAGCAGGGGGGTATAATGTAATCAAAACTGCGGAGGACAATCGGAAATAAATCAGAACTCCTCAGAAAATATTAGGACATACCTGTTTGCTCCAATACTTCACAGGTTGATTCATTGCGGAGAAATGATAATCATGTTGGGTTTTTTTGAGGGAAAGAAATCTCATGCTCACATCTAATTTGTTTTCCCGTCAATAAATGATGTCACTCTTTCTACAGAGAATTGAACTGCTGTTGCTGTTGAAATGGTTTTCAGTTAGGTAGAAAATATTGACAAGAAATGGAAACATTGGATGCTGTTGGACAATGACACAAAGAGAAAACTACTCAAATATGGGGAAATTGTCCATTTAGACGTCAGGTATGCAATAGTTTTGTTCTTTATCTTGTATATTATAGGTGCTCTTCCAATGATTAGTCAAAAAGTGAAACTGCCAGACGGTCAGGAAATCTTCATCCCCCATCAACGACGAGAACGCTTCACCTTCCGAGAAAAACACCTTGAGGTGCTGGAAACCTGCTTCAATGAGAATGCCTATCCTTCCCATGAACAACGTGAAGCCATCTCTCACATGTGTAATATGGCTGTCAGTAACATGGGTAGGTTGTTCACAGCAACTCTTTCTGGTTGGTGTATGTTAATGAGCAACATTTTCAAAGTCAAACTAATGTCCCTTAGACTGTTAGGGTTGCCAGTTTCTTAGTAGCCCAGTGTGGGAGATCTCCCTCCACTGGGCTTTCCAATATGCGAGACTTTTGACAGCATCATGCGAGATGGGGGGAAAACATTTTTGAATGCGCGAGCTAGGATGTCTCAGCACGAGATTTTGTCTCGCACCGTGAGACTTTGGCAACCCTGGTTATGTGACCAATTTAATTTCTTTGTTGTGCAATGTAAGATCCCGTTTCAACTCTACAGCACAACATAATTAGGTTTTCTTCAGAGTAACATTAATATGGATACTTGACTTTTGTGCTCGACTCTACATGTAATATTCTATATAAATATATATGCTTTGTTGGTTTCCAGGACATCGTTCCCTTCATGATAGAGAGAAGGTGACTCCACACATGGTGCTAAACTGGTTTGCCAACCGCAGGAAGGAGGTGAAGAAAATAGCAAGAGAAGGTAGGATATGTCGGACGATACGGGTGAGATACTGCCTTATCAGAAGGTGGTGTGAGTCAGATTGTCAATATACTAGTAGATGGGTGTGAATCAATAAAATCATTTCCTACCTTCAGGGTGTGATGGAGAAAATCTCCAACCCGAGAGGTGATTTTTGTTGTATAACCTGTGGGTTAGTCATCAAAACCACCACTGAGAAGAGGGTTAGAGATTTCTCCATTACACTCCAAGATAAGGAATGATGATTTCCTATTTTTTCAGCCCCAATCCCCCATTAGTAATCTGGCATGTTTATAAGCAAAAGCACAAGTGGTGCATAGATATATTTTGTATAATATTTACATTAAATCATTTAATTCTGATGTCGTCACAATTTAGCTCATGCTATTCTNTGTCCGAGTTTCTACCTTTACGTTTTCTACCCATATATATGTTTTACATAGAGTTCATATCGGGTCCACTGCGTTACAGGTACCACAGAAATACACATTTGCTAAAATATGTGACAAAGTATGATTAAAATAGTTCAGAAATCATCAAAATGTTCATATTCACCGGAGCGTCGTAAGAAAGCAGCTACCTGTCCGTCCTGTCATGCGCACTCCCTCTGCAAGCTGATCTTCCTCAGCCTTAATAGGAGACAAACCTGTGAAGGGTGTGAAAAAAATGTTGTTATAGAGGATAAGCTTGGATTAACAACATCTTAGAAGGTGGAAGTGTGTGAACTATCATTACAAAAGATGGGTGCGATTAAGTCTAGTCTAATGCTTACTGATGTCTCTTACATTACAGAGGGTATCCCGGAGTCAGAGGTGGTGCTACCCAGCAAAGTCAGCAAACGTCCCATCAGCTTCGACATTTCCATGGAAGGTGTGACTTTGTCCCCACTGGAACCTAGTCAGGATGATGTAACTGACCAAACCGATGAACCCGATGACCGAACTTCCCCTTCTATCAAGAGTGAACCAGGCTGACCAGCCCTTACCATAAAGAGATGATTATCAGAATAAGTGGAAATTTAGAAATTTTCCATCCCAATTGTGCATTTATGACCCGATGCAAGATAGTGCAATATTAATGGTCACCTCTTCCATTCAGATATTTACTGATGTGTTTTTTCGAAAAGACAGGAAAAGTATCCTAACATTGTCATCTAATTAGAATATCAAATGTGAATGCAATATATACAGGATTACCATCTAAGTGAGCCAACTTAGTTTTTGAATTCATGAAAAAGTGTTTCAAAATGTCATAACAGTTAAAAAGTTTGCTTTTCTGACCTCGGTTTGGCATACTCTTTTAAAGTGTGCATTGAAATGTAGCCAATGACTATGAGATTTACGTCTCCATGAAGCTGATCCTGAACCAGCGCTTACAAAACAATTATTAACATGTGGGTGACTCCCACCGATTAAGTCCTCGTGAATTGGTGAACAAGTCTAGTGTCATCATTTGAGAATTCCAGCTTGGAAGGAAATGTTGTAGTTTGTAGTCCTGTTTATTTGTCGGGATTTGAGAAATCCAAGACAAGAAGACAAGATGACATTCTGGACAGGGAGTCACCATTTGAGTTTTCCGATGAAAACATGTTCGGGAGGCAATTTTATGGTTTAGTCCCCACCTCAATTTTATTTTTCATCATCTGATGAACCCAAGAAAAGACAATCTGCAATGTAAACATTTATATTATAAAGATAGTTGTGCCAGTGAGTATATATTGCAAATTCAATACTGAGTAAGTTTGAAAAAGTCTCGGGATGGACATATTACAGTTCACAGTATTCTGTAAAGGACAGCAAAGGGTATAAAGTTGTTTTCCTTTCAAAGCCAATTTAGTTTTTGTCCAATTTATCGAATACATTGTACATGCATGTTGATAACAGAATTTTTTAGATTCTGCCAACTTTTTTAAGTGGGTGCTTTTATATTAATTGCAATAAATTTGTTTTGAAATAAAAGCTTTTTCAGATATTTTTTATTTTGTCATCATTTCCAGATAAGTCTCTCCATATTAGTGAATATTCTTTGCCCTGCTCTGTCGAAATCAACTTACTCTTAAATATATATCGGTTTTTAGAGGAAATTTCAACTTTTTAAATTAGATAATATATACAAGAGGCCTAGAGGGCCTGTATTGCTCACCTGAATATTTAAGAAGTCATAGCAGTCATTTAATTGTTTGACATATTTGACACGTGTGACCTTGTAGGTAGGTCAAGGTCATTTTCTTTTTTCTCACTTTGTCGGGCTCTATCACAGGAAGAAACCAGCCAAATATGAAGAATTTATACCTTTCAGTTCTTCAGAAGAAGTCATTTGAAGTCATTTGAAGTGTTTGACAAATTTGATACCTGAAACCTTGAAAGAAGGTCAAGGTAATTTTCATTCTCAAACTTTGTCGGGCTCTATCACAGGAAACCACCAGCCAAATATGAAGATTCTATACCTTTCAGTTCTTCTTCAGAAGTTGTTTGAAGCGTTTTACACATTTGACCACTGTGACCTTGAAAGGTCAAGGTCATTTTCATTCTCAAACTTTGTCTGGCTCTATCCCAGAAAGCTACCAGCCAAATATGAAGATTTGATACCTTTCAGTTCTTCTTCAGAAGTCGTTTGAAGTGTTTGACCCCTGTGACCTTGAAAGTAGGTCATGGTCATTTTCATTCCCAAACTTTGTCAGGCTCCTACCAACGAGAAGCTTTCAGCCAAATATCATGACTCTAGACCTGTACGTTCTTCAGAAGAAGTTGTTTTAAGGAAAAGCGGATGGACGACGGACGCCGCACCATGACATAAGCTCACTTGCAATGCAATTTGAAAGTTATGATGTAGAAGCCTTCAGAATACTAACAATTAACAAGAGTTCCACGAGACGGTACATGATTTTGGTTATTGCAAGCTTTCATAGAAATACACCTGAAGTTATTGAGCAGAAACTGTACGTCAATTCTATAAAGGGCCCCTTAATAAGCGGCGGATAATGGTTATCAAACTTGTGCAAGCTTTCATAGAAATGAACCTTCCTATGAAGTTTGAAATGAATCTATTCAAAATTACTGAAGTTATTGAGCAGAAACTGTTTCGGCAATTCTACAAAGGGCCATAACTCCATTAACAACAAGCGAATAATTTTGGTTATCGAAAATGTCCGAGCTTTCATAGCAATAAACCATCCTATAAAGTTTGAAATGAATCCATTCAAAATTACTCAAGTTATTGAGCGGAAACTGTTTCGGCAATTCTACAAAGGGCCATAACTCCGGCAATAACTGGCAAGTAATTTTGGTTATCGAACTTGTCCGAGCTTTCATGGTAATAACCTTCCTATTAAGTTTGAAATGAATCCATTCAAAATTACTCAAGTTATTGAGCGGAAACTAATGTGTGCCCCCGCCCACGTGAAAACATAATACGTCCCGTCTATCGATGGGCGTATAAAAATTAACAACTGAAAAGTTCACACTAATTTGGCCTTTGATTTTTAGGTCAAGGTCAGTCAACTAATGACAGTGCACTGTACATCATCTGTGGGAGATAAAAGCATACTGCAAAATTTACTGCAGTGATAAATATGGGGCATGATATCAAGGTTTTACTGTAAAGAGATTTAAAACTATGGGCATGATATCAAGGTTTTACTGTATACTGATAATCATTCACAAGGGCATTGTATCAAGTATGTAGTGATAAATGAGGGGCATTATATCAAGGTTTTACTGTAGTGGTTTAAAACTATGGGCATGATATCAAGATTTCATTGTATAATTAGTAAACAAGGGGCATTGTGTCAAGGTTTCAATGTAAAGGGATGAACTTTAATCAAAGTTTCATAGTTCAAGTTTAAAAAAACAGCACAGACTCAAGGTTCAACTACTTGTACACAACATGTAACATACCTAAGGCAAGAAAACCAACAAAACTGATATATTATCTTAGTAACTTTATTTCTAAAAAAATCAACAAATAACAACTGAAATGTCTCGTTATTCTACACCATTTTAAATAATATCCACAACTGAAAGTGTTTTTGTGCATCAATGAAAATGAGAAAACTAAAATAATATATCTAAAATCCAACAGTATTCCAGTTTAGAGTATTTTACCTTAAAAATAAAAAAATAAAAATGAAACTGAATTCCAAGACGCCTCTAAAACAACTAACTTATTTTTTCATTTTCCAAAGTGTTGAACCTGATATTTCCGTACTTTCCCACTCCCATCTCAAAAGTGGGAAATGTAAACAAGGTTATACTATACCAGATAGAACACAAGTATTCAAGTCTTTAAATCTACAAATCTATATAGGTTGACTAGAAAGACGTGCCTCCTCCAGTTGACACCCTCAAAAATAAGGCACATACATTATACAAAAAATAGCGAGAAAACTCTGGAATGAATTTAGACATGTAGCCTTTTCTCATCAAATAAGTTTGGTCGAATGAATAAACTGAGAAGCAAATGCATATCAGTTTTTCCACTTCTCTGAACTTTTTCATTTCATTCGACTTCACATTAGCTCCAACACTTGAATAATTCTTTCTGTTTCTGATATCAAATGAAATTTCTCCCATGATACAAATATAAATGACAACCTTCCCCAGTCTGTGTTAGCACTAAGACTGCTTTTGTTTCAATGTCACATGAAAAAGGTCACTGGCAACACCATGTATTGTAGTTAAGTTTGATCCAGGATCCATGTAATCTTGATTTCACAAGAATATATTGCAGCTTATTTCTGTAGAGTGAGTTTGATGTTTTAACTTTCCATAGTCTCAATTTCAACAATGACCTATGGTTAATAAGCATCCTTGCGTTCTGAATGAGTTGTCTTTCCTTTGTTGTCAATCAATCGTCTTCCTCCTCCTGTTGTCTAGATAACGGCTCAAACGGTAGCACATCCTGTCCTCGGTCAGGGTCTGGCATACGGAAGATATTCAACCCCTTCATCTTGATCCCCAACTCACTGACAAGCAAAAGGAAGTCAATATAAGATATTTCCTAATCTCAAAATGCTATAATATTGAATACCGGTACGTAGGATGCCTGTCCCCCTGCATTGTGTTTTTACAGTAACCTCCCCTTAACTTCCGTTTAGAGAGTTGTGCCAGGACCCTTCTTGTTGACCAGGTAGTTCAATCTGTTAAGGGTGATAGTATATCAATCTGAAGTCCAGGGTTCAAATTCCCACCTAGACCCTCTGATTTTCTTGACATTCAGAACATTTGTTGATTATATTTTGTGGATGTCATCTCAATTATTTCTCATTAAAGTCCTACAAGGTATGGTTTAGCTTTTCAGAAATAATTCATCACACTTAACTTACAGTTTTGGCAGTGGTATGGGGATCCTTAAGAAAACATACATGCTGCCATCTATGTTCATTTACTCTTCAAAATTACAAAATGTATGTGTCAGTACATGACCATTCAATTTTAATACAGAAATTGTATCACATGTCACATTGAACGCTACATCTTACCTCATGTTCTGTGGGGTGAGGAAGATAAACTGTCTATGTAGCTGCTGCTTGGCTACTTTCAGCATCAGATCCATAGAAATACGCCGGTTCACCATGTCCTAAGGAGAGAAAACCCATATTACAGCGAAAACCACAGAACAGAGATTTGCTATACCTAATTAGTGCCCCTCACTCTTTTTCAGGAGGAAATGAAATTATATTGAATCCCTCTCCCTCCCTCCTGACCAAACCCAGTCAATGATTGGTAGAAATTACACTTTAAAGCAGGGATTTAGGTCAAGTGATCATGGCTGAAATTCCTGTGAAGCAGATGAAACATTTGATTTCAAAACCTGCAGCCACATTGGAATATTTTTGTCCTTCAGTGAATATCATAACTCACATTTTATTACCCTAATCCTCCCCTCTAAATCAATTTTTAAAGCACCATGGGTGCTAATTATGGACTTGTTTTGGCGAGTATTTGGCCAAACGTCATTTAAATACCAATATAATTTAGCCACACTCACCATGAAGACATCAAACTCATCAAGACAGCGGAAGGGGGACTCCATGGCATCCCAGAGAGCCAGGATGAAGCAGACCGTGGAGAAGGATCGCTCTCCTCCCGACAGGGACCTCATATCCTTGGCTCCATCTCCATCAGATGTGTTAGGCTGCACCTGTATAAGTTAACAACATAAAACTCACAACTAATCATCTCAAGTTACATTCAAACTTGTAAAATTATTATTGTGAATCTATTCATTTTACACAGAAAAAGGCCAAAATAAACCTGTCAAATAACAGTTCCATCAGCTATTATCTCTGCCCTTTCATGTGATGTCTTACTGAAGCCAGAAACTATTTTCTCTGCCCTGTGTGGTGTCTCCTTGACTATTTTCTCTGCCTTTGTGTGTGATGTGGTACTGAACCGAGACATATTGAAATGTTTGATGTCTCCCTGACTATTTTCTCTGGCTTTGTGTATCATTTGGTACTGAACTGAGACATATTGAAATGTTTGATGTCTCCCTGACTATTTTCTCTGCCTTTGTGAGCGATGAATTGACATCAGGCTAACTGAGATGTTTGGTGTTTATTATTTCCACTGAAGTAGTGTGATGTTATACAGAGGACTGACTTACTGAGCTCAGAGTCTCTCTTGACTATAACCTCACCCCTGGGTGTAATGTAGTAACACACTTACTGAAATGTCCAATGTCTCTCTCGGGTGGTTGAAGGTCATCTTGCCGTTGTACTTTCGATTGCTGAGTAATATGATAAAGAAGTATTTGGCCCTCAAGGCGATTAACTTCCTGAACTCCGAGTACTGCTGCTGTCGCTGGACCATCACTTTTTCTAAATGCTGTAAAACATGTACGATTTTTATCATCATCATCCTGTACTTTGATCAAACTGGTAACATGTTATTCCGTTACTTTCAACTGTCTATTCAATGCTAATACAATTTGTATAACTCACAATATTGATTAAAAGGTTGATGTGTAGAAATTTTCTAATAATTGCAATGGTCATGATGTTAATTAAATAATTGCTTTAGAAATATGACTTTAATTTCAATGGTCATGATGTTAATTAAATAATTGCTTTAGAAATATCGAAATGATAAATTACTAATACTATACATGATTCAAAGTGGGAAGTTATAATTTTTTAATTTTTATAATTAACAGCAGTGCTGAATGATTGAAGTATTTTATAACATAGCTTACATCCATGAATCTTTTAAATTGTTTGACTTCGTCCCTGATCTTCTTGTATGAGCCTTTCTTCTCAAAGTATGTTTTAGTTATCTCGGTAGGATTCCCATGGCTGTAAATATCATAAACAGGGTTAATTTTTAATAACATCTTCAGGGCTAAAATTTATTATCGAATACTACTATTCAAAAGAGTAGTGCGTATAGTTTCAAATGTTTACTAGTTCATGTGCAAATTCCACTAACCCAATATTGTTCAACAAGATGGGCAAAATCAAATTTTGACTAGTCAATCAGGCCAGTGTTTTTTTTTATAGAACCCCTAGTCCAGCTGGAGATTTCACCAGTCTCAGATTAAGGAGCTACCTTTAATGTCTAGCCCTGATCTTACCTCAGCAGTTTAAGGCGCTTAGTATTATAAGCATTCACAAGAGTTTATCTCCAAGTGTGGAATTAACTGTTTACATATAACTGTTGTAGTATTACATAATATATCAATCTTTCTAATTTAAGTTTTTTCCAAACTAAACCACAGCTTTGAAGGAATCCAAGTCAAGTTTCAATTACAGAATTAAATTAAAACTTCACAGTCTTAAAGTTGAGTGACACAAGTTTTTCAAATATCTGGAAGTTTGAGATAAGAGAGTTAGAAAATTAAGAGCAGTGAATGTTCAGCTCATGTACCACAAGACACCACTACTGACAAATTCTAAGGGTATACACCGTCGTAACAGGCAACATTTCTTATCCTTAAACATAGTGTCAAAAACATACTTCAATGTTAAATTTACATATCGCTTAGTCTATAGCATACAATTTATTTCTGCAGCCAATTCTACAACATGAAACTTTAGCGAAATGGGAAAAGTTTGAGTTTAATTGTGTGAAGGGTCCTACCTCTTCTCCTCTACTTTAATGCGTTTGGTGATCTGATTGATTTCACTCTCCAGGTTCTGTACCGACCTCCGCATATTGGCCTTCCTTGGACAGATCTGCTGTGCCTTGGTCGTGTCATTCTGTCAATACAGTACAAGATAACTCTGTCAATGTTTTGAGTTTCAAGACTTTACAATAGATATGGTATTGACGACTGCACTACATGATTCTGTCAGCACAAAATGATTCTGTCAACACAAAATAATTCTGTCAACACAAAATGATTCTGTGAACATGAAATGATTCTGTCAACACAAAATGATTCTGTGAACACAAAATGATTCTGTGAACACAAAATGATTCTGTCAAANATTCCCCGGATGTATGTTCCGAATATACATGCGATACTCGATGAAAATAGATGAAGCTATCCGAAAGTGCCCGGTGCAACTACAACTAAATGCCCTCTGACAAATGTTCCGGTCTCATTCGACTGCTATTTTAGCGCTACGTCATTTTTATTTTGTTTACAACAACGACTTGTCAATATTTTCGGGAAATGTGATTTATATTTTTATTCTATGACTCTTTCAATGAAATTTAAGCTAGGTTTTTACAAATTCAAGCACAAAATTAAGGAATTCAAGCACTTTTCAAGGGAATTTAGTCTTTTTATGAAATTCAAGCACTTTTCATCCCAGGGATCAAATTTCAAGCACTTTTCATTTCTGTGCGAACCATGGTCAACACAAAATGATTCTGTCAACAATGATTCTGTCAACACAAAATGATTCTGTCAACACAAAGTATTTTTGTCAGCATGCCATGTTACCTCTATTTCCTTCTGCAGCATTTCTACTTTCCTCTTCTGGTCTATTACTTTACGCTCCTGCTCCTTTAATTTCTGCTCGTAATGCTTCTTGTGGGATTTCGATTGCTCAATTTCATTTTGGGCATGTCCCAATTCATCCTAAAACCCAAATAATGAACATGACAGGTATGACATTTTTCCTAATTAAAGGATCATGTTCGATACTGTATAAAGTTAGACAGTATCTAAATTAAGGAAACATAATTAAAAAGAATTCAAGATTCTCTAGACTTCATAACTTAAATAACAGTTAATTGTGTAGAAATAGATGTATGAGTTGGCGTATGTTTTATGGTAGTGATCATTTTCAATTTAAGCACATGCTTTTTTTCCTTGATATTTTCAGTTTTGATTTCAGTACATACTATACTTATCACCAATTTAAATTTAAGTGAAGGCATCATGATAAAGTTTCTGTCAAAGCTTAATGTATCCTGGTATTCCACCTAAATCATGATGGATGTTTATTAAATAATAGTATATTCCAACTCCGATTAGTCACAAACTATGCCGAAGTTGATATCAATGAAATGCCATCAAAATACCAATTGGTTGGGTTTTCATCTTATATTTAGACAGGAACACCCATTGATCAGGTTGTTCACCTTATATTTAGACTGAAATACCCACTGGCTAACTTTTGTTCACATTACCTTCAGCGGGTCTGCCCCTTCTGCCATTGACCTCATCTGATGTTCCACCTCTTTGAACTTTTTCTCTACATGTTCCAGTTCTTGCTTACACTGTTCATGTTTCTGGTTCTTATCCGCGCGCTGTTCTTCATGAATCTGAATCTGGTCGTTCATGGTCTGCACCTCCTCTTCCTACATAACATAACAGGTACTAATCTCAAACCAGGCCAAGAAAACGCAGTGATAGACATACACAGCTCATATTTATCATTACCAAGTGAACTATCAAAAGTTATACAAGAACTCAAGCCAACGTGTACCACTGCTCTTTTTATCTAAATTTTACAAATCTGTACCTATTTTAGTATTTCAATTGGGGAAAATATCACAATATTTTCATTGAAATTTGGAAAATACTCCTTTTTCGGTGGAAGTTGAATTATTTTTTTATTTTTGCTAGAAGAAGCAGACTATTTTAGGCTGAAAAATGAGCCAAAAACAAAAATCACTGTATCATATGGACATTTCAATAGGCATACATAACTCGCACCAATCCATACTGACTTGATACATAAAAAGATTTATACCTTTCATACCAGTCCTGACAGACTCGATTCTTCCACAGGCATATACAACTCATACCCAGAGGAAATAGGCGAAAAGCCTTACCAGAGTTTCGACATCCACAGGTTCTGGATCCTCGATACTTTTCAGATCCTGGATTTCCTGTGGGACAAGAAAACAGTCCATCAGATCAATGAATGGAAAACAAACATGAATAAATTTTAACAGGGCTTTCTTTCAATTAGCATGAAATTTCATCAAAATTTACAAAATAATTCTCTGAATTTTCGTATTAACTTCTGACTGTACTTACATCAGTGAGTATTCTGACTTTATGTCCAATCTTGGTCAGCTGTGTTTCTGTCTTGTTGCTCTCTACTTTGTTAGAATGTATTTCCCTAGTGAATTTGTCTCTCTGACGATCTATGGTTGCGATCTCGTTTTCCAGAGACTGAAGCTCCTCTTTGTGTCGGGAGATTTCCTCCTCCACATTGGTGGAGAGGAAGCGGGCACGACCACCCCTGGAGGAGTAGTACCGGAGGGAGGGGTGACAGTACAGCTGGTCGCCGTCTGCGGTAAATGCCTGTTAGCATATATCATACATTTGTTATATACATGTATTTACAAAATACTCCATTTTTATAGTAAAATTACACAATGTTTACAATGCTTCTACTTTCTAAACAGAAAGTGCACTGTTGACCAGTCCAAAATGGTGAAAAGATGACCAGAAAGGGACAGTTAGTCTACTGTAGGTAAAAGTGTGATGACATTTTGCAGATTTTCTTGTTACATGTCCTTTTTATATGTTGACATGTTAAATTCGACATCAACATTGCAGCAATTACCTGCAAGAATAACAATGGATTTTTTGACAAACAACACGAGTATCCTATAGTAGTGAAAGCAGTTTTTTTTTAATACAAAGCTTTTACTTTTTTTTTTCGGGCAGCAAAAGATTTGTTGGAACCTTAGCCCAGACTATTGCTCTCTTGTGGACTAGGCCTGCATTTTGATCTAATATAGCGTATGCTGCTGGCTCAAGGCCATTTGTAAATTAATTCTGTTACATCAGGTCCGACACCAGCATACACTCCATTTATAACTGTACACTGTTAAATCAGGTCAACTGTGTACATAAACATGTTTTGTAAAATAAATAATCACCTCTCTGCAGAACTTAGGTGGTCCTGGCCTTTTATCAGGATCCATTACATCACGAGCAATCCTGTTGTCTTTGATAAGGAGAATGCATTCTACTCCCCTCTACAACATAAAACAAGAGTTCAATGATGAGCCTGAATAAAAATGAGTTTGTAATTACAGGACCTGGCCCCTGTTCCACAGCTTAAGTTAAAAAAAAATCTTCAATCATCAAAAGAAGGGTAACTTCCTTTTCTTAATTCATGATTGAATTTCTTTGGCAAAGGGATGTTTCTTATAATATCCAGTTAAATCTAACTATTAACCACTATTACCCACCTGTTCCTGTGGATTTTCCCTATAAACAGTAACCTCCCCCTAACTTTCGTTTGTATATAACTGTAGCACAGTTGGGCCAGGACACTTCCGTTGACGAGGTAGCTCTATTGGTTAGAGTGATAATACAACAATCTCTAGTTCAAGGTTCAATTCTGAGTCTAACCCCGTTGATTTTCTTTTTACATTCAGAACCCTGTTGTTAATTATATTTTAATAATTTAATCTTTATCACTTCTCATAGAAGTCCTTTAAGTTATGGTTTGCTTTACAGAGATGAATTATTAGTCCTGCTGAAAAAACAAGTTTTCAACCCTCAATTACAGTTTTTGGCAGTGGTACAGGGATCCTTAAAAAAACAGTTGACAAAACGCCACAGTATAACCTGGATTGGCCTTTGACTAGGTGAGTTAACACACTAGTCACTGTAACACAGTATTACCTGGATTGACCTTTGACTAGGTGAGTTAACACACTGTCACTGTAACACTGTATTACCTGGATTGGCCTTTGACTAGGTGAATTAACACACTGGTCACTGTAACACTATATTACCTGGATTGGCCTTTGACTAGGTGAGTTAACGCCCTTGTCACTGTAACACAGTATTACCTGGATTGGCCTTTGACTAGGTGAGTTAACACACTAGTCACTGTAACACAGTATAACCTGGATTGGCTTTTGTCTAGGTGAGTGAACACACTTGTCACTGTAACACAGTATTACCTGGATTGGCCTTTGACTAGGCGAGTTAACACACTTGTCACTGTAACACAGCATAACCTGGATTGGCCTTTGACTAGGCGAGTTAACATACTTGTCACTGTAACACAGTATCCTGGATTGGCTTTTGTCTAGGTGAGTGAACACACTTGTCCCTGTAACACAGTATTACCTGGATTGGCCTTTGACTCGGTGAGTTAACACACTTATCACTGTAACACTGTATTACCTGGTTTGGCCTTTGACTAGGCGAGTTAACACACCTGTCACTGTAACACTGTATTACCTGATCAATGAGGCAGTTAAAAGTGACAGGGTCAGTGATTTCCAGCACATCAACCACAGCCTTGTACTGGGTCCCGGTCACCCGCTACAACATACAAGTGTTCACTTGTTTATATACATACATAAGGTAACCCTGACACAATAAATACATGTAACTACTGCGAATTCAGAGCTGATAACTTCATTTCAACCTTAACCTTTGTCATTATCCCCTATACCCACCATTGAGATGAAAATCACACACAGTTTCATGTACATTTAAAGCAAATAAGTTTCACTGAAGAGACTTCAAACAGTGTGTAGATAACATATAACAATATATTGTGTAAATATATCTTAACAGACTTTCGAAAGATTTCAATTGGTAAATTTGCCACTTGTTTTCAAGTTAACATAAAAATAACACATTAAAGCATTAACTATTCCACTGGCTCAATATTTGTACAGGGTTAAATAAAAGTATCACTAACAGTCATTCAGTTGTCCTCTAGAAATATCAAATAAGGATAATTTTACAACTTGTTTCTATGTCATTGTAACATATAAAGAAACAAGTGAAAATATTACTTCTGGACCACTAGCTTGATATATAAACAATGTTTCATAAAAATGTTATAATTTTCCATGTACTAATTAAGAAATAATAATGTTAAGTGCATGCACAGTGTTAAATATCTCTATATTTATGTTTTTTCAGGAAAATATTTTTCATTGTAACATGTTACTTACTCCTCGGCTAACATTATGCTTTTGGTCCTGAAAAGGAAACAGGCTGACGTTAGTAATGTCCACATTTAACAATCTGATGCACATAATCTTTTAATCAGGTATTCCAGAAAAAAAACAATCTATTTCACCCCACCAGGCTTTGCTTAGGGTTACACCAACATATTTATCTAAAATTGTACTAGGAACAGGTTGATTAATAACCCCTCCTCAATAAAAATTGCTGAAACTGCAATGTTCATATATTTCAAGTGAAGAGTGTTGGGAAGGCAAAAAATGCCGTAAAATTTCTCAGTACATTCTTATTACCAAAAATGACATGCAAGCTTTTTTCAATTCTCCTTCAAGAATTCATGTATTTTTCAATGCCTATTAGACTGTGTATGACTCTTGAAATGTGAGAGCAAATTAATTTCCTTGGATCGAAACAACAAATATCAGACACATCTCGATGCCAACATGGACCAATACGTCTGTAACAAGTACTAGAAGAACATTGTAAAATTATATAAAAATCTTATTTCATACCTTGAAAGCAGAGACAATAATGGATGGCCGCTGTCGCTCAGGACAAACATCGTCAAAGATCTTCTCCAAAATTGCCTCATCATGGTGGTCGTGACAGCAAAATGCATGTATAAGGTTTCCCAGGCACCGCTCTACAGCAAATGCCCACTCCATGTCTGTTAACTTGAAACACGAACCTGAAGTAAAAAAGAAATCCATACATAATTGATCTTTGTTTCATTTCTTTTTTTTATCTTTGTTAAAAAAAGATATATCTATCTTAATTATAAATAAAACTCACAGAACAATTTTTTGATTTTTTTTTTCAAATATATATGCCCAACTAACTCTTTTTTACCAAAAAATGTACTCTGTGATAAATCAATCTTACTTGTAAGTTACAAGTCCACACCTATGTTAGGTGCATGTTCTCACCTTTATCAGTTACAAGCTCACACCTGTTCTATTTTTGAAGTATTTTACCTCCTGGGCTTGACAAAAGTAATATATGGTATACATCACTTTCTTTCCCTGACAATTCGATCATAACAATCTTACCAGATATCTAACACCGCACTACATATGTGTTTTTTTCTATCTAAACACAAAACAAGTTTGAGTACAATTTCACATCGCTATAATATATCCTCATTTTGAAATCATCAATATCTGTCACCATAATCCAGCAACAAAATTGTCTGCAAAATGTTGCATCTTGTATACACAAAATTGTGGTATTTTTAACACAATGTCACCTTTTGAAACCTCATTGAACTCCATTAGAAGTAAACTGATGCATAGTATACCAACAAACCTAGAAAATCACAGAACAATAGGTACCTCCTTCTAATAGGGAGTAAAAACATTATAAAAATCCTGATGAAACATAAATATCATATTAGCTTCTTTATAAGTAACATTACACTGGAGCATATTGTTGGTACTTTTTCTCACACTACAAAACAACTGTACAAATGGATTGTTCACCTATTGGGCCGACTGGTCGGCGGTGAAACTGATGGCGACGACAGCGCTCCTCGATGTGCTGTAGCAGTGTAGGCATGTAGGCCCCAAACCGGCGGATGTTGTCCTTCTTGGCTTCACAAAGGTTCTGTAAGTCCTTCTTGATCTGCCTCGCCCTTGTTTCTATAGTCTGTTGCTCAGTTCTGGGACAAGGGTTAAGTTAGTGATTTTAGAAAATTGTGATACATGTATTGATTTGAGGTATTTGTTGATTATAAAGTCTAAAATAACTGACAAAGGTTAATACATAAATTACTGATCTAGAATTCTGTAGTTTACCCTAGTATAAGGACATGAAGTGGTTCAGAAAATAACATTTTTTCAAGTTATAACTAGTAACAACTATGTTTCTTTTATTTCGTAAACTTTCTACCAATTTTACAATAAAATGCTAGAAAATAATGATAAAGGAATTTGGTACATTTCACTTTTTGTTGCTACATATAATCATTTTTTAGTATTTGTAAAAAACTTAAGTTGGTCTGAAAACCTTAACCACATAATACTGACTGGAGTGTGTATTCGTTCTGTTTGGCCTGGGAGATAGCACTTCGGTACTGGGCCTGCTGGTGTTCTGTTGTCGCCAGTTGTGCTTTCCAGTCATCGACCTCGTCTTCCTTACGCTTTATCTTTGACTCCCTCGTCTTCCTCTCCGACTCGTAATCACGCTGGGCACTGGTCACAGATATAAGACAACATCGTCATTACGGCTAGGAAAGTTGAAGCATTTTGTACTTTTTGACATATATTTGTATAGTTCCATTGCACATCAGAACAACAGACATTGACATCGAGAGGATAGTTCTGATGTCAAACAAAACATCTAGCAATAATGTAAATATGTAGGAACTGTTATCGAAGTACCTCATGTAGAGTAGCTAACACGAGTCTGGTAAAGAGTGAACCTTTCATTGGGATTTTGGGGTTAAGAACTAGTGGTAATTGTGTTTAGTCAATCACACAATGGTATATAAGGTGGAAAGACAAGGAAATGAAACAAATCTTTAATGTCTAACTTCCTCTTGGAATTAAATTACATAACAACCAGCACAAGATAATACATGTAGTCACATAAATGTTAAAGATGCCAATATCATTCTTACCTTTTCTGAATCTCCTTGATCTTTTCTTGAAGGAGAGTTCTGTCTTTTTGTACCTTCCTCAAATAGCTCTCAACCTTCTTGAGATCGTTTTGTGAATTTCTGGCCACCCCTTTTTTTTCGTTGACCTCTTTCTTAGCCGAGTCGTATGTTGGCTTGAGGTCCTGTACCTCATCACTCATTGTCTTAAGCTGCTCTTGGATGTCCTTCTGTCGCTGAACACACTTGTCCACCTTGGTCTGGAAACATGAATTATACAATTGATTGGTAGTATGGATACAATGTCATGTACAATGCTTGAATCCTTCATCTATGCACTTTTCCTTTTGAACATATCAATTTTTGTGACACTGATAGGGAAACTCATTCCAACACATCATCACTATTCTAGGCCTCACAAATTTGAACAAGTTGTTGAAGTTTCAATACATTTGTTATTTGATCCCTCTGACTTTCATATAATCAAGATCATTACTTAAAACGAGCTCAATAGTGCTTCAACCCAGTCCTTAGAACGAGCTCAATAGTGCTTCGACCCAGTCCTTAGAACGAGCTCAATAGTGCTTCAACCCAGTCCTTAGAACGAGCTCAATAGTGCTTCAACCCAGAAAGTCACATGACAAATATTTATTACTTTGTGCTGCATCGTTTGGTATAAGAATTGAGTAAGTCTTTGACACTTTTGGCTACTGACCTTGAAAGTAAATAACGGTAATTCATTTGAACAAACTCAATACTCCTCTGCCCTAACAAATTACGAGTCAAACTTCATGACTTCAGTCCTACGTCGTAGTTTATCAAGGAAAAGTTTAGACAACATATGAAACTGTACCATCTAATGGGTTCACAACCACTTTGTTCACAGTAAGCAAAAATACATATTGTTCACAGTAAGCAAAAATACATATTGTAACATGGATACAAGTATCACATAGTGACGACAGAGTGACTCTTTCAATAAATCAACCAGTTCTAAGTTCTAGCTTAATTATCATCTACACACTGAAACACAGTCTATGATGTGCATCTGGTTCAATGTGTTAAAACAGCTGAATAATATTTTACTTTTTTTTTTTAAGAAAACATTCTTCGGTAGTGTCTAGATAAATTTCATTTTAATTATGAAGATCATTTCAACAGTTATTTAAATATGAAACCTTCAGCTGTTACTCTTAAGGATTTTGTGACAAATCCATTGCGTAAGGCACTATAGTTACCTTTGCCTCATCCACCTTCTGTATAAACTTGGGTAGCCTGCTCTCTTCCTGTTGTAGCTCCTTCGTCAGTGGCTGGAGGCCCTACAACAGGTTTAAATAAAATTAATATACAACAGAAACATTTTTATATGATGTATATGTATAACCATCTGAGTAAAGGAGTTAAAGAATATGATATATTGACCGGAAAGCCCACATATACAATGTATCAGTAATGATTCCACACTTCCAATGGTAGCTTTAAACATTGTCACCAAAATGAAACTCCTCTTTTTAACTCCTGTATGATGAAATCAAAACATGACAAAAGTCCAAGACCAACTGAAGGCTACTAATTTGTACTTCTCCATGGCAACTCTGTAACACACAACTGTCTCCTTTTCCAAAATTTTGGACCAAATTGAAGCCCATATCATATTCCCTCTAGGTTCAAGGGAAACATATGACCTTCTTTTTCCCCACTGGCCAAAGGTCGGTGTTTTTCTCTGGGTACTCTGGCTTTTCTCGACCATCAAAATCTGGCATATCCTTAAATGATTATAGCTGTTGAAAGGAGGGAAGACACAAACAAACCAAACCAAACCATCTTCATCCCACTGCAATATCAAGGACCGCCTACAGAATTGAGCATATTCTTTTATATCTTCTGCTAAGGAAAGCTGAGGAAACACTCCTATCTTTTGCTATGACATATTTCTCTCCCATAGCACACCTATTGTTTACCAATGTTATACTGTGTGAACCTTCGTGACCTTATTGTGTTTCTCAAAATTGTATATATTTATCAAAACGCCCATAACTTAATGTTTCCTACATGACAATGGTTTAGACTAGACTGAAGCCTAAAACTGGCAATGACCCAGACTAGACTAAAACTAACAATTTCCCCTTTCCTCCATAACAAAACCTAAACCTAAGGCTAAACAGAAGAATATACCTTAAAGCTTCCTCCATGACAAAGGCTTAAGCTAGACTGAAGCTCTCAATTAACATTTTTCTTCTCCATTGCCAAGGGCCAGACTAGGCAAAAACCAACAACTTACTCTCTCTTTCTCCATGACAAAGGCCCAGGCCATACTGTCCTTGAGCTCTTTGATCTTGTTCTGCAGTTCCTTGATAGCTGTCAGAGATTTGTACTTTTGTTCCCAATCGAGTACCTCCCTCTCTAGTATTGGCAGAGACTGTAATATTTACAATGTTATCACTCTTAACAAATGCAAGTAATTTTTTTCTACTTTCCAATGGAGAAATTTAAAAAAAGGACAAAAATCCTGTTTAAGTAAAGTGAAAATTATCTGCAACCTACTTTTTTGTACACTGTACAATTACATTATAACAATATGAAATTGTTTTAAAATTAGTCACGTTTCATTGACATCTGCCTGCTATCTATAATTTTCTTTAACAACTGACAAAACATTAAAACACTTTTTAAACATCTGAAATCAATTTCCTTTTTGTAAAACCAAATACCAGTTCAATACAACAGTAGGGCTAAAAAAAAATAATTGCACAATAAAATAATAAGAAAGCGGTTTCGTTTGAAAGCCATTGGTTTTACCTGTTCTTTTTTTTCTATGATTTCACGGGTAATTTCCTTCTGTTCGTTGGCCATAGAATAGTCCATCTTCATTTGTTCCAGCTGAGTAGCCTTCAGGAAAAACTGTTTAACAACAAATACTGTTTTGTTACAAATCTACCATCCATATTGATAAAATTGCTTAGAAACACTGTCTCAATATATATCTGCTGGCACTCAATATTTCTATAAGGTCAAGTAGCAATATTTTTTGGTTTACGAAAACACTTTTTGTTCCAAACTGTGTCACACAATTAATATTTGTTGATTTTCTTTGAAGTGAGACTAATACAAATGTCTAAGACACCATTTCAGTGACACTTGACTGTCCTATTGAAATGTACTAATAATTGAATATAAACATTTAAACCAAAATATTCAGAGAATGAATTAACATAACGGTGCACTGTAATAACAAAATATGTATGAAGTCACTTGGAACTGAAGTGTACAAACTGCCAGGGTAGCTATTGAACTTAATACCAAGGATTTTGGGAATGAGGATCAAGTTCAAGTTCTTTATTACCCGAGTCCTTCGATGAGGAAGATATGATTTGTGTCTATACCTCACTAGTACTAGTCATAAGGACTTTTGGAGCTGAAGAAGTCCAGATTGTCATGACTTTATGAGTTGTTATGAGGACTTTCGGAGATGAGGAAGTTTGGCTGACCATACTTACTTTGTAATCAATAAAAGGACTTTCAGAGCTGAAGTTACAACTTTTGTCCAAACCTACCTTGTATTTGTCGTGAGGACTTTTGGAGTTGAGGAAGTTTCTACTTGTGTCCTGATTAAGGATTGATACCGGATTGTCAACTTGAATGTTAAATTGGTCCAGAATGTAAGTCAAATCTTCACGCTTCTGTGATATCACTCGACCTACATAACAGAACATAAACCATTATTACATTTCATACAATCAGATCGTAGTAATCAGTCTGACTGTCCAACTACACAACGAAAAGGCTTCTTTATCAGTGACCTTACAACCTGAGCAATCATCTCCCTACACAAACACTAACAATGCATACTTTGCAGTAACTGACCCTGACCTTGAGCACAACACCATGGAACACAACAAACATTTGTTTTGGCCCCCAAACTAATCAATAGCCACCACCTCTCTGCTGAAAATTGATGAATTTTAATGACATGATTTAGAGCCAAATAACACTGTTGTTTCGTGTTAACATTGTGAATTTATCTATAAATTAGTGCATCTAAACTAAAGGCTGACAATTCTGACCATTCAGTGTAAATAGTGAAGGGAGGCCCTCACTGCAATCGGTCACTTGTTAGTTCAACGAGGCAGAATGGTATAAGTAGTACGTTCATAATTAATCTCATATTAAGAACTATCCATATCAAAACAACAATCCAATATTGTATTTTAATGGAAAATGGAAACAGAAATACAAAATCAGCTTCAAGCTTAACTGTTGTGATTTACATTTTCTATAATATTAGTATTTTCTGATTCTCAGCTGATTTTTTTTACGAAGTTGTGTTTTAAAAATCCTAAAACTACTGATCAAAATTTTGTGTAAGCCTGTTTTTATACATTGTTTGTTATGCCCTGGTTTCTGATTTCTTTGTGAAAAGTGTCGCCAAGAGGTCAAATCATAATACATTTGTATAGGTTGTACAACAGCTGTGAACTAAAACATTACGAATATTTGAATTGCGAGATATACTGTGACAGAGACGTCGACTCACCATCTTCAGATTTCAGTCTATAATGACTTCCACCATCCCTGGCAAACTTGCGCTCCACTATGATAGAGTTGCCATACTCTTCATGTTTGTAAGCATCTGGACCACGATTCCTCAACTTTATCATCACTTCTGCAGTCCTGTGAATATCAGCATTTACAAATTTATATAATATGTGACGATTCAATTAAGTGCCTGAATCAGGCTTCACGATACGACAATTTGAAATCATGATAAGGACAATGACAGATACATTTTTAAATCAATAATTGCAAGATATTTTTATTTTAAGTTTTGCTGTTTTGAATGTTTAATCGTGTATACAAAAAGTCTTGGAGAAGAGTCAAGTTTATTATATATATATGCAAGTGTTACAAACACTAATAAACATCAAATTAACGCTCTTGTCTGCTGGCTGGGCAAGAGTAAAATGATGAGTATTGAATTTAATAAATACTTCATCTCTGAAAAGGATAAAGTATTTATTTATTCAGTGAATTAGCAATTATAACCAAACAAATAACTAGCTGATCATGACACTCTTTGAAGATGAGGTACATGAAGATCTGAAATCATTTGATAATTTGTGATTCAAGATAGAGAAACTTTGAAATGTTAAAGCTTTTCATGTACACATGAAAATCATTCATACAGTGATTGTGTGGTATTTATTCCTTAAATATGACATCACTGTAAATTAATGTACGCTCCGTTATTCTGTAGACAGTGGCCTATCTGTCTGTAGGACTACTTACTGTTTTCCAGTTTTAATGAAACTCTTGATAGTGTTTCCCCTACTCGTGACATTAGCCTTCCCACCGAGCCCAACCACTAAAGCAGTGATCACTGCACTTTTGCCACCTGAACAGAACAAAGTCAGGAATATATATACTCTGTTGCAACAAGAAAACCAATATAACCTTATACATCACTACATATAAAGTCATGCATTTGTTTATATTTATTTCAGAAAAATTGTACAATTTGCAAGCTTGATATTTAAAAATAAATTAACGTCTAAACTTGCGGATATACATGTACATGACTTACTTCCATTTCGTCCCATGAGGAAATTGACATGTGGTCCCAGGGTGATATCTAGTCGATGGTGACACATGAAGTTCCGTAGGTTAATCTTTTCCACAATACCAATATCTGCTTCTCCCTGTGGAGACAAAGAAGGGGCTCTCAAATAAAATGTATCCAGTAACTGATAACTTTAATCCTACATGACTTTTATCCAGATAAACCACATAAGCATCTAGTCCAATTATTCTGACGTTTTATCGACTTTTTTTTATATCGGCCTGTCGTCGATTAACGTCAGAACTCCAGCCTACTATAGTATGCGGGAAATAAGCAACCCGCGCCTTGTTCGCTCTTCAAACTGATATTTTAGAAACAAATCGTCACTTTCACCCACATGTCCCACATGGATCGAAAGATCTATTATTTATGCACAAGATGAACACAAATTACATGCCTCAAACAACCAATGCAATCACTGATTTTTCAGACTTACTCTGTTTTACTTTACGTTTTTAGATAGCCCCGCCTTCTAATGCCACGTGACTAAAATCTTGACGGCCCACACGATAAACTTAGGAAATACCTTCGGTAAGGCGAGATCTTGTCAAGTAATGCGACATTGCTCATGCCCTTATTTCCATTTAAAACATTGGTTTGTATAGAAAACGCTGTAAAATACTGATCGTAATGGTCTTTGAAACATGTTATTGATACAACCTAGTGCATAAAGAATAGATCTTTCGTTCCATGATCAACATGTGTGTGAAATTGAAGATTTGTTTCTAAAATATCAGTTTGAAGAACGACCCAGGCGCGGGTCGCTTATTTCCTGCATATTAGAGAGGGCCAGAGTTCTGACATTAATCGACGACAGACCGATATAAAAAAGTCGATACAACGTCAGAATAATTCGACTACCAAAATAAGCGCAAGCCCCATTTTACCGAGGATTTATCAAAGTCAGCTCGGCAGGTCAGGTCCATGTCCTGGCTCTGCTCCATTTCATCTTCATCCGACTCAACAACCTGTCGCTTCCGTGGGATCTTTTCTCCTCCTCCATCATTGCTTGCCTTACGCTTTGACATATTTGTTTTTTCCTGCATAAAATATATTGAAAATTAAAAAATAAATGAACATCTTGTGTGTTTTATAAACCAAAATATTCTCAACAGCACGTACACTTCTGTTGCATGCTCTCAGTAACCATAGACTGAGTTTACCAGATATATATAATCAGCCAACATTTTAAAAGATCCAGGTGCTGCGCCAGAGCTGAAGGAAACCTAGCTGCTTTTAGAAGGCTTGGTATATTAGTGAAAAATAATGATGTAACATGGGGAAAGAGAAATGAACGGATAGACCAGAACTCAAACCTAGGACCTCTGAACTTGAGGCGGACATGTGATCGTCTGCTATATTTTTGAAACTTCTGAGAGTCTCTTTCTGTAAGCTTTAATTTTGAATATTCTCCGTGTGAAAACCAGGAAGTTTTGCAATACATTTTCTTGTTTAAACACATGCCACATACAGGGGTCCTCACGCATGAAACATAGCACTGAAGACGTGTACAAGTAACCAGTGGCGGCTGTTATGTGAACAAAACCAATAACAATACAACAGTATTCCTGTATTTGATTCTTTCTACTGCTAATATAATCTGGATCGCCATTTCTCAACAGGAATAGCCAATGCTATTTCATATTAAACTTCATTGTTTGATAGGAACATGCTCAACATAAATAGAATTTCGAAATTAAATTGATGTAAACTTTACGTGTTCAGAGTCTTGTCATTGCCGTCATTTGATGAAAATGAACAGTTCTACTTCTGTCGTTTGGCGCCAGACAGATGAGTTTACATTTTCAGAATGGACTAAAACTAAAACTGGTTCAAGTCAAGAACTCCGGATTGTGGCAAGAAACAGGGAAACCGAAACAATCTACTTTCATGTCATTTTTATATCTTCAAAAAAATGTCGTGTGAAATTTCACAAAATTAATTTAAAACACCTTGAGCCATAATCTAACGTACATAACAACAGTTTTTTTTTAAGAATTACAAAAATCAAAAATTGAAATAACAAGGGAGATAACTGTAAATTCTTGCCTCGATCGTCTGTCAATACAAGGGTGTATCACAGGGGTTCGTTACAAATGTCTGAAAAACACATATGTAATACTGATATGGGTCACAGCACACATAAATTTATTATTCGACTCATGAAATACAAAAACAAAAACAAAACTAAAAAAAACATGAAATTTCACAAAGAGGGATACTTTACGTCAAGCGCTATTCTAGATACTGTATATACATTATATTCAAGTTATGTTTTATTTCTTCTTCGTGAATGCCAATGTATTTATAATTAAGTGTATTACAATCTAGTAAATTAATGTATGTATTCATTCCTGTTACATGTTGCGAAATCCAGAAACTTTTTTCGTTATAAATACAAACAAACTGATAAACTTGCTTGTAACTTTTCATTTCCTGCAAAACGTTTAAAGCATTTGGGGTAATAGCAACAGCTGATCAACCCGTTGTCAAAATGATGTGACCGGATGGAACACTGTTCTGGGTACCTTCGGCATGGTATTTCATTGAGGTAGCACTATATGGTAGTCTTCAGATTCGCGCTAGTCCAATTGCAAGGAAACACACATACCATTACACACATGGAGGTACGTCTTTACATTTATGAGCTATTAATATTGGTAAACCCGATACAATCAAACCAAACCTTTCTGAGACGTATAACACCATTAGTATTTATATATGTCTCTGCTCCTGCTTTGTAACTTAAACCTATTGTTTAATTTAATATCAATCGTCTTATTTTAGTAAAGGTTTATATAATTTACTTTTTTTAATCAGGTTTTAATCGAGTATTTTAGTTCGATGTTGATCTCTAGTATCGTGTGTTTTATTGCCATTGCAGTACTGGAAGAGGTCACAGATTGCTGCACTATTAGTGGTATGCTCTTGTAACATTCATTCCCTTCACCCCTATACCCCTATACCCCACAACCCCACCCCCACCCCATATACCACACAATCCCACTCCCACCCCTATACCCCACAACCTCATCCCCACACCTATACCCCATACCCCACTCCCACCCGCCTTTCTGAAAAAAATCTGCATGGATTTTTTCATCAGAATGGCACATTGTATTTTTTCACGGTACTTACGGACGGACATAATGATATCCCCATTGCTATGGTATATAACTATTTTAGGATAATAATTAGATTGTCTAGTTAAACAGCAACTAATACAAGAACGATTTTACCTGGTTAAGTATCGGAGAGTAAGGGAATTTCTATGGGGCTCATCTTTGAATGAGGAGAGGATTTCTACCCAAGATTCTACAGAAGTTGTTTTTCCTTTTTTTTCCTATCACCATCGAACATGCGTACGAGTTTGTAGTGCTGATATGATGAACCATTCTAAATTGAAACTACTGAAGTTTCGCTATTTTGATACTCCTGACAGATCCAGTGTATGTTTCCCATAATACAGTGTCATTTGAGTTTGTGAATAATTGTTTCCATTGTAATTCCTGCATGCTGCGATACCTAGAATTATCATTTTGTTTACGTGACTATTTTATGTAAATCTGTATTACGCCGAGCCTTGATAAATGATATAATATCAACATCATACCGTATTGTTCCAAGTTTCATCAAAACGAATTTTGGATGTTGGCATGAGGGCATTCATACTATTGTTTTATTGTTCCACTTCTTCATGATTTATTAAGTTCATGTAAGTCCTGCCTGTTTCGATACTGAAATATCAATTCCATTAACTGTTCCGTGGACAATTTCATTAGAAAGGCAAATTGTTGTTTTTTTCCCTTGCTATTTTTTTTATCTCGTCTAATTTTAGAGGACCCTGTGGAAGATTAGCTTTGCTAAACAGGTTTTGTATCCTCAATAAATAAAGTTTATTATTATTATTATTATTAATTTTATCATATTTGTTAAATATTTTATAATTTACTCTATTCCGTCTTTGCGTATTGCAGAGTTAGGGAGCAGGTATTGATTGTTACGTCACTTGTCTGTGAGAGTAACGTCATCAATTTTTGAGAAAACGACGTAATTTTCTCGCTCAAACCAGGGACGTATATACTGTCCCTGCTCAAACCAATGACGTAACAATCAATACCTGCTCCCAAGAGAAGATAACTCTCCAATTCGCAAAGACGGAATAAGATTAAGAGATGACGATGGATTGGACGCCATGACACATCCATAAAACGGGTTTCATATTTCTCAAGAAATTTATTATCATAGCTGAAAACATTTTTTTCTATTGTTCTAATTCGATTTTTTGGATATCCGTGCTCATTTCTGAATTGTTACTGATTTTCATGACCCGCTTTCAAACTAAAATAGTGGAGTGTCTGCCATTATGAAAAGCTTATTGAGTCACTGTGTCTAATACAGATGGTAACCTACCGATTTCCCGGAAATTATTGGAATTAGACATCGGGGTGAGTTACAGGAAAACACCTACTCTTCTGCGAAAACCTGAAGGAGAGGGCTGTTTCACGTTATCTGTCCTTTTGTTTTGGTGAATCTTCGAAATCCAAAGAGTTCTGATATCAACGAACATATTTTCTCTACACTTGTTGTGTATCGAGAGTGGACCCTCCTATATTTCGGAGATGGGATTGGCTGGTCTTCTGTTTCGGTTGTTGTAATTTCCAAAGACTTTGAGTTTATATTTTGTTCTTGTGTCTCGAGACTGTGATACACAGTATACCGGGAAAGTTTTGCTGCAGTTTAATTTTCGCCTTTTTCGTCTGCCGTAATGAGGGCGAATTTATCCTCACAGCGAACATGAGTACACAACATAATATGCATACTATAGTAAGTAAATGTGAAGGGCGTAATTAACAATGAGCGAATATTGATTATTCCGTCTGGCGAAGCTAGGGTGAAAGTTTTACTGAGCGAAAAATTCCCGGTAGGCAGTATATCATTTTGGTATCTTGATAACATAAAAACATAAAAGGAGACAATAATGACGTCATAAAAATATTTATCATTATACACAATTGTTTTTCATATATAATAAAATAGTGTAATGATAAATAGTTTCATTATGTGGACAACCCACATAATTTTAACACAACCTATTGCGAATCAAAATGGCAAAGACATCGTTTCGTTCTAGGATATAATCCATGTTTGCAGATTGAAGGAAGTTTATGGACGACAGGACTTGATTTGCAACTTCGGTAAGCCATGTTAACATTTAATACCCAAAGAGAGGTCGAACAATTATTAGAGACATATCTTAAATACAGATATCTTTAAAAGAAAATTAAATATCTCGAAAATAATTGAATATATCTTTAAATGTAATATATTTTAAAATAGTATGTAAAATCAGATATCTCTGTTCTTTGGATCTCCTCATTTGATAGGAATAATTCTATTATTTTATGAGAAATCGCCTATATTAATAAAGATTTCTCTACAAGGTATTAATTGCTAAGTTTGCTTGACATGTGTAACAATGAAATGTCAGTATCTGTTTAAGATTTGTCGTAGTAGATATCATTGATATGCTTTATAGGATTTGACGGGTGTCATATTGGACGAAGGAAAAGCTAACAAGATATATGAGATACAAGATGCACGATTTTTGTATTTAACGTCGCAGTAGTGCTACTCTTGCGACAAACATTTGATGCAATAAGTAATAACTAGGATATACAACAACATGCAGGTAATTACAAAGACAGTTAAGAAATGACAATCAAATATCGCAGAGGCAATTTAACAAGTCAAAACAATTAAGGTACAAAAGCAGTGACCTTCAGAATATGTTTTTTTTCTTTTTTTTTGTATCTAATTTGAGGTCTGATTTTATCCTTGTTTAATACTATATATTTTGTTCCCGTTTACCACGTCATACACATGACATGCTTTAATAGTCGAGCCGTGTTTGACCTCCTCTAGACTGATCTGGCGTTCATAAGGCTATCCTCAAAACTCCAGATATTGCCATATCGAGAGCGAAACCCTCGCATTTCCCAGATGCAATTTAACATTTTTTTTTCTCCAGCTGAATTATGAAATTGTATATCAGTAAAATCATTAAAATGGCAAAATGGGAAGGGGAGTTAGGTGGGAGGGGGAGAGGCAATACATTATGTCAGCCAAATATATTATTCATTTCAGAAACATTATTTTGTCGATGAATAATTTATATATTTAAAAATACCTGATGTTATATTTAAAAACCCTTTATGCAATAATTATAGAAAACAACATTTTCAAAATCAATGAAAATAACAATAAAATAGAAACAAAATTATAGCAAAATACAACAAAAATGATATTGCTACAACCATATAGCAACTCAATGTTATTGTTAAATTGACCTTTTTGATTGAGTGCCTTGGTCCACAGTTCTGTACAGTGGTTGTACACTGACGTGTTTAATCCATTTCGTCTATTATGGGGCCACTGTAGCTATTTTGGGATTCACCACTGTCACCCTGTTGGGCGCCTCCGTGAAGTTTGGTCATGATTGGTGTGCACAGTCTCTGAAACTCCTTCAGTTTGTACTCGAATTCCTCTACCTCTGCAGTTGTGTTAGAATCCAGCCACTTTATGTGTTCATCGCAGCTTTGACTGACGACAGCCCTGTCTTCAGACGACACTTTATCGCCCGCGTTACCTATCGCTGTTTTGACGCTTAAAACGTAATTTTCAAGTTGATTCCTTGCGGAAACTCTCTGTCTTTGTTTGTTGTCCTCTTCTTTGTACTTTTCGGCGTCGGAGACCATCTTCTCGATGTCCTCCTTGCTGAGCCGTTCTTGGTCGTTGGTGATGGTAATAGTATTAGTTTTACCACTGCTCTTCTCTTCAGCCGTGATGTTCAGGATACCACTGGCATCGATGTCGAACTGGACTTCAATCTGAGGCACGCCCCGTGGAGCTGGAGGGATGCCGACAAGTTCAAAAGTCCCCAGACGGTTGTTGTCCCTGGTCATGACGCGTTCCCCCTCGAACACTTTTATGTTGACGCCTTGCTGATTGTCCGAGTACGTGGTGAATGTTTTGGACGTCTTTGTCGGAACGGTCGTGTTTCGGTCTATTAGGTTTGTCATCACGCCTCCGGCTGTTTCTATTCCCAGTGATAGAGGAGTCACGTCCATGAGAAGAACATCCTTGATGAGGTCACTTTTGTCACCAGTAAGAATGGCGGCCTGGACAGCAGCACCATACGCCACTGCTTCATCAGGATTAATGGATTTGTTTAGTTTTTTCCCATTCATGAATTCTTCGAGCAGTTTCTGAATCTTCGGTATGCGTGTCGAGCCTCCTACGAGGATAACTTCATGAATCCTTGATTTATCTATTTTTGAATCTATGAGCGCCTTTTCTACAGGGTGCAAAGTGGCACGGAATAAATCGTTGCATAAGTCCTCAAACCTTGCCCTTGTGAGCTTACCATTGAAGTCAATACCGTCAAACAAAGCGTCTATTTCCAGGTAGGCCTGACTGCTGCTCGACAGTGTCCTCTTGGCGCGTTCGCATGCCGTGCGCAGTCTCCTGACTGCCCTACTGTTCTGACTCATGTCCTTACCGTTTTTCCTCTTGAACTCCTGCATGAAATGGCTGACGATCCTGTTGTCGAAATCCTCCCCGCCCAGATGGGTATCCCCGGCAGTCGATCTCACCTCGAACATGGAACCCTCGTCAATGGTCAAAACAGACACGTCGAACGTCCCTCCTCCAAGATCGAAGATGAGAACATTTTTCTCACCTTTCAAATTTTTGTCCAAGCCATATGCCAGAGCGGCGGCTGTGGGCTCGTTGACAATCCTGAGGACATTAAGTCCGGCGATGAAACCAGCGTCCTTTGTCGCTTGCCTCTGAGCGTCGTTGAAGTAAGCTGGTACCGTTATGACCGCATCTTTGACCTTTTTACCCAGATACGCCTCAGCTGTTTCCTTCAGTTTTGTCAGCACCATGGAGCTCACCTCCTCCGGGTTAAATTGCTTCGTCTCGCCTTTACATTGCACCTGTAACTTAGGTTTACCGCCACAATTAACTACCTTAAATGACCAATGCTTCATGTCCGACTGCACGTGCTGGTCATCGAACTTTCGTCCAATGAGCCTTTTCGCATCAAATATAGTGTTTTCAGGATTCATGGACACCTGGTTTTTCGCCGCTTCTCCGATCAGTCTTTCCGTATCCGAAAAGGCAACGAAACTGGGCGTGGTTCTGTTACCCTGTTCGTTTGCTATAATTTCCACCTTACCGTGCTGGAACACACCCACACACGAGTATGTGGTCCCCAAATCTATTCCAATCGCCGAAGTCATCTCGTTATTGTATATATGATGTTAAATCGTCTGGCAATCTATATTTCGTTAAAACGAAAGTAGAAATAGGACAAAAACTGTGTATGGCAGTATGTGTTCAGGCTACAGCGCCCCTTAAGTATGGCTACAACCTCTGTCAGGTATCTTGTACTGTAGTGCCGGGTTCGTATCCAGGAATGCTAACAAACTGATCACACACAGGTTTATATACACTGTCAGAAGAACATTCTAGACGGTTCTAGCTAAGGAAGCTAGAACCTTCACGAGGATTTGTAATTGTTTACATACGTTCGGGAACTCTCGTACTCTGTTTATACACCTTAGGTCAACACAAAGGTACACCGAGAGGGACTGACCTAGATTTCCAGTGGGATACTTTCCAGACTATTCCAGCATGTTCTACAAGCATGACATTTACTTGTGCAATAACGAAATTGTTCAAGCATGCAAAATAAATCACGATGTATAATCCATATTTAGATTTTGAACATGATCTTAGACAATCAAGGACAGTATATGCAGTAAAGAGCAGGATTGTATTTTCTATCGGTTCTCCATATATGCTTAAAAAGTTTGATTCGGCATCCGATTGAAAGAAGTTATTAAGTGTACGTCTAGAATTGCTTTTGAAACAGTGAAAATATCGCATTCAGAAAATCTCTTTTTTAATTTTGTATAAAAACACATTTACATTTACATTACGTATACGGTAACGTACTCATATAATTCACATTGAAATATTATATATCTATGCATTTTATAATACACAATAAATGTATAATGGCAAATATTTCTCCAGAACGTGTTTGTATTAAGATAAATATGATATTCACATGAAAATCAGAATTACAAAATAGGTAATAAACCGACCACTGTCCATAAGTTCTTCCTGGATGTACTTTGGATATTTCTTCCAATAAACATTTAAACGTGTAAGTATTGTTTATATTACATTCAGGAATTGTTGAATGATATTGTCGCGATATGCAAGTGTTTATTGATAACCTTAAACATAAATGCCTGTTTTGGAGATGTTGTTTCTGGATTCTAACGTTTCTATTTGTGTTTACGCATACTGTTAGTTAGCATTTGATGAGATGTATACCTCTCCTCAGACCAGTTATGATATGCATAATTTTAATTTAAACAGTTTGTCGAAAGATAAGATTATGAATTAGGCTGTTTCTTAAAATGTTCTATTGTTGGTAGTATTAAAAACATAAAGTGTTACAGAGTATGTTTCTATAACAACCTACGTGCATTAAAGCTAAATTTGTTTCTTATTTTTATTTTGTTAATTCATTTTTTTTTATTGAAATGTACATGTTAAGACAGCTATGATGTACGTAAAATGTATACAAGTTAGGAGAGGGCTTAATTAAGCTGTACGAACTTGTGCCCAATCCATTTTGTCAATTCCAAGACAATACAAATATGTTTAAACCAAATCTAGATTCCCTGTTAACTGTTCCGCCTAAATACTGGCAAGATTCAAGTTGTTAACTAAGATTATGTTACTAATTTCAAGAGTAAGGGGATTGTTTAAGAGTGCATGCTTACTGCAACAGTTGTACCTTGATTAAAAGAAATCTGACCTTGTTTAACGCTGATAGTGATTTCAGAGATAAACATCAAGTATATCAGGAGTAGCTTCAGAGTATTTGTCGTTTTTCTGCAAAGTATTATCTGCAAAAGTTTGATACCTTTTCATTGCTTATGATATCATTGATAAAAAATCGCCAAAATGATATTTTTGAGAATCATCTGTTGTGTGTGGGTCATGTTAGATTTATAATCTTCAAAAGTCTGCGATCTGTTTTCTGTCACACAATCCAAGTCATGTTAATAAAAAGAACTAACTGCTATACATCGTCACATGCATTACTAAGATCACAGAAAACTAATCGCAAGTCTTTTTTTGTTGTTGTCTAAATGAGAGCTTATGATAAATATGTCTACGGATTTATATAATTGATATATAATTGATATAACAATTGATATATAATTGATATATAATTGATATATAATTGAGTCATCTAGGTTGAAATCCTGATTGTTTTATAGTATAATGATGTGTAAATTGAAAAAAGAATTAACGTAGGTCTAATTGCACTAAGTATTTAGTTGTTAATTTATACTTTGGGGTAAGATACCATCAGAACCCATCACTTTTTTCCCATTCAGAATATTCCTGTTCATGTTGATTATGTTATGTTGTTATGTAGATTTCTTAGAGTTAAAACCATTATAAGGGAGGTAATTCAGAGAGGACTCAAAATGGCAGTTGCAATAGTTATTTATGAAGTCTATGAATTAATATTTTATCATTCACTTTAAGATGATATGAGTTTGTGTATAGATTCGAAACTTTTAATTTTTGCAATGTTCCGCCTCTTTCTTGGAAGAACAAATCGATTTATCAATATTTTGCTTGTGAATTAATAACAACGACTAATATTCCGAATCGTCTAAAAATAAGCTCAATCTTGTTCCCTGTTTTGATTTAGCCTCTTTTATGATGCTGCTTGTTAACTTCAGCCTTATTTATCATGCTTTATAAGGAATTCATGTAATAAAATAGTAAAAGTGTTTTTTTTAATACGAACGAATAAAGATAGTTAATGTAAGAATTATCCGGAAAAACATATTTCAGTCAACTTTTAGTAATTAGTGCTAGAAGTGTCTGTTAGATTATCATATGTAGAAATAGTTTTATAACAAATGCGGATTGGTGACGGCCAAATCTACAGCACAGGGTTTCAAAATATGCATATTGAAGAAAGTTTTACGGTCGCCATCATGTCCTCCCTTCGAAATTTCTGTCTCTTTGGGTGATATGAAGGCCGAAGTTTCATTTATTAATCGCGTTAGTTTTACCTTAGTTCATATTTTACCACAGTGTTCACAATTTTGGGTTCCAATAAGGGTTTTGTGGACACCTAGGTATCGTCTTGTTGATTTTATCTTCAGAAATATTTACAGTGATTTGTAATAGTGGTTATATTGAGTGTATTATTGAGATGACTTACATAAATATTTATGACTGGTTTTACATTGTATACATTTCCAAATGAGAGATGCATATATCATAAGAAGGCCGTGATGTATATATGTTACCGTGATGTATATATGTTACCGTGATGTATATATGTTACCGTGATGTATATATGTTATAATTAAACATCTTGTATCTTACTATATAGACGTTGAGAATAACACAAAAGTTAAACAATAAGTTAGTAGTTTACGATATATATATATGACAAAAACTAAAAGGTAAGTCTGTATATATTTTCAAGAATGAATGATATACTATATATATATATATAAAATTAACGACCGACTAAAAAACTAATCGCTTTATCAATAGTTTTTTAGTCGGTCGTTAATTNATATATATATATATATATAGTAGATAATAAATAAATAAGTCCTTGCGAAGGAAAATATAGAATAAAAACAAAAAATTCCAGATCATGCGGACGATCTGGAATTTTTTGTTTTTATTCTATATATATATATATACATATAACAACAACATGATTTGCATAAAATACAAGGATATTATTTTGGTCGCTGCTTGAAGAACACTCACGTTGTTTATATATATATATTGATATTTAACGACAAACTAAATTAAAAAATATTAAGCACATGCTAAAACATTATAAATGCCAAAGTCTGAAATATGTGTTGATATCAATAAATACGTATGTCTACTAGTATATATACTACACTCGTTTACGCAATATAAATATTAACATAATTACATAACACGTGAAAATTAGAATGTATAAAAATCATGTATATATAAAATGTATTAAAATTCTTTACAGATGTGATTCCATGTAAACCGCAACTACCATATACACCAATAATCATTTGAAAGCACAAATCATAATAATTCATGCCTTTAGGTACATGTATACAAAAAACGTTGTTATGATATTGGAAATATAGTTAATTCGGTCAGGTTTCAGCATTCGGTATATTAACGTGTCGTCTATGTGTCTAGATACTTACCAGTGTAAGATGTAAGTGTCGTATATGCGTCACGGTAGTGTCGGTATATTTACGTGTCGTCTATTTGTCTATATACTTACCTGTGTAAGCTGTACGTGTCGTTTATGCNAGTGTTTGTATATTAACGTGTGTCAAAGTAGTGTTTGTATATTAACTTGTGTATAAGTAGTGTTTGTATATTAACGTGTGTCAAAGTAGTGTTTGTATATTAACGTGTGTCAAAGTAGTGTTTGTATATTAACGTGTGTCAAAGTAGTGTTTGTATATTAACGTGTGTCAAAGTAGTGTTTGTATATTAACGTGTGTCAAAGTAGTGTTTGTATATTAACGTGTGTCAAAGTAGTGTTTGTATATTAACGTATGTCAAAGTAGTGTTTGTATATTAACGTGTGTCAAAGTAGTGTTTGTATGTTAACGTGTGTATAAGTAGTGTTTGTATATTAACGTGTGTCAAAGTAGTGTTTGTATATTAACGTGTGTCAAAGTAGTGTTTGTATATTAACGTATGTCAAAGTAGTGTTTGTATATTAACGTATGTCAAAGTAGTGTTTGTATGTTAACGTGTGTCAAAGTAGTGTTTGTATGTTAACGTGTGTATAAGTAGTGTTTGTATATTAACGTGTGTCAAAGTAGTGTTTGTATATTAACGTGTGTCAAAGTAGTGTTTGTATATTAACGTATGTCAAAGTAGTGTTTGTATGTTAACGTGTGTCAAAGTAGTGTTTGTATATTAACGTGTGTATAAGTAGTGTTTGTATATTAACGTGTGTCAAAGTAGTGTTTGTATATTAACGTGTGTCAAAGTAGTGTTTGTATATTAACGTGTGTCAAAGTAGTGTTTGTATATTAACGTGTGTCTAAGTAGTGTTTGTATATTAACGTGTGTCAAAGTAGTGTTTGTATATTAACGTGTGTCAAAGTAGTGTTTGTATATTAACGTGTGTCAAAGTAGTGTTTGTATATTAACGTGTGTTAAAGTAGTGTTTGTATGTTAACGTGTGTATAAGTAGTGTTTGTATGTATATTTACGTGTTGTCTATTTGTCTATATACTTACATGTGTAAGCTGTACGTGTCGTATATGTGTCACGGTAGTGTCGGTATATTTACGTGTCGTCTATGTGTCTATATATTTACCTGTGTAAGCTGTACGTGTCGTAAATGTGAAGAGTACAATACCCCAGATAACCGTATCGGTCGCATATACAGACATATGTGCTAAAGTAACGGTCTTACTAATGTTGACTTTGTTAACTTTGACAGCTGAAAAGAACACAATGTTATCTTGTACGGGCTATGTATGTTATATTGGGGAATCGTCTTAGGGGCCGAATGATAAGAAAAATACATGTTCCAACCATAGGGAAACAACGTTATGTTTTAAAACAAACAAAAATAATACTGATATTTCCCAGACATTTGATTTTCTTATACATTTAACACGTCATACATCTCTCCTCAATTACCTATATTTCAACGAAGTGATGTTTGAACATATACAACATACTTTCAATACTGCTACTATTCCTATCTTTTATCTGGAAATAGACATATTGGGTATTAACTAAAAACACACAAGACAACCATCTGAACAATGCATAGTTTAAATTACGATGGATATGTTATAAGAAGTCGCTCTCACACTTGGAACAAGCCATTGAAACAAATGTGTTAACTAGTATGAATACTCAAATTGCACGCAACATGTCGAATTTATATAATCTCCAAGATGCAAGAGAACATTCTTTTTCTTTTTCACTCTAATGGACAATATTTCTCTGCCCTAGAATGTTTTTACCTGCATTATATATATATAGAGCAGTTTTCATGCCAGACCTAAGATATCAACTGTTTGCAAAGTTTGTTGCCATCATATATTGTATAGTTATAAACCGTTCAGGACCACGTAAGACTAACACAGCTAGAATCAAACTAATACATATGAACAGTGTTGTGTTTTCTATCAAACAAGACACCATTCAAAAGTGATCAAGTTGTACTACTTAGAAGTTAAGACATCATTAGCCATGTACCGTCTTGTTATTATACAGTAATTTTGTTTCACCAGGACCATAGCTATATGGATACAATTAGTTCTTTATGTAGTAAGAATTACTAGGAAGCATTTGATTGTATTATCATTGCACAATTTACTTAGTTTGCTGGAGGTCATTGGAACATTTCCCTTTTGTTTCGATGTATCATCTTTTCTAATATTGTATTTTTTCCTACTGCCTTTTAATGCCAGTAATAAATTACATGAAACTATTAAATGATATCAGAACCGTCGATAACCGATGGCTGTCTATCCTGCATTCGGTCACCTTGGTTTAGTTAATCGTTTATAATTTTATTAATAAATCGGTACTGTTGGTATTAAATTTGGTTCTGTTAAAAAAGTTAAAATTATAGCAAACACATCACAATCGCTTTTTATCATTTTTTTCTCTTAATATTTTGGTTGTGCTTATCTCCGAAAGAAAAAAATAATTTCCTGATTTTATATAAGAGTCGGAAGTTTAATTCGTATAAAAAATAGAACTGCCTTTTGCTTGACACCACTACCTGATGGCCACACGATTATTATAATTAACTTGATGTAAAACACTGAATAACATGAGACAATCTACTGTCTATTCGAATGTCTCGTGAATTAGCTTGTGACATCAAAATGTTCATGTATTTCTCTAGAATTTGTACATATACTATTGTGTAGTCAAAGACGTAAATACAAAACGTGACTCATTAATTATTTTTCAAGTTAATATTTCTTACTTATCGTAGGACGATAACGCGAGAATATCAAAAGGACGTATGCTACTTTAGTTATGTTCAGCATTTATTTAGTAATCGCAAACAAGTGAACAAACAAGACGGTTTTAATAGAGCACATGTCTGCTGGCTTTGTATTGTAAATAAAACAATGTGTTCCAGGTAACGAATGACTTCACCTAATGGATTTCATTGATAGGAAATATAAATAATGCATATGATACAGGTTACGACTGACCCCCTCTAACACTCTGAGTGTTTGCATGACCGCTACTGAGAAATAACTATCCCACTTCACGTCGACATACACATGGCTTTATCTCCTAGCTTAAACATCGACCCATCATTTAGTGGGACAATTCCAAATATTAATTGATTATTTTGTGTGATAAATACGGTAACCTGTTAGGTCATGAAAGCTTATTGTCATGTGTTTAAACGCGAGATTCCCACACATTGATTGCTGTTCAATATATACGAGTCTATTAATTACCTGTAAGCCCTAGCACGGTTGACGGGGTAGAATTTGGCTTAGTACACACACACGAGCGGTATGTTGATAGTAGCAGGTGACACTTTATCTCTGTAGACAGGAGTTAACTGTCAGACTAATATGGAGCTACAACGAATAGACAGTATATCACTCAAGGAGGAGTATCTCCTGAAGATTTGGGAAGACTATGTGCTGGAAAACATCGTGGAGGCCAACTCGTGTCAGATGGCCATATTTGACCGCCGAACCAAGAGGCGGATCATAGGCACGGAAAACTTTAAGATCCAAGCGTGTGAGTTGAGCCACATTGCCGAGGGAGTATTGTATCCCGATTTGGTTGTTAGGAACGGCGTGACCGTCTGTGGTCGGCATTACGACGTCCGACTGGCGGACGGAAAACAGGGTATCTACGCCCGGGCAGAAGAGTACGGCTGCACCGTGTGTCGAACCCAGTCCCTGCTTATTTTATGTGTAAACGACTCTCGCGCTGTGGCGTCGGAGTGTAACGAACAGGTGATGAAGCTCGGAGACTTTCTGTTCCAGGCAGGGATGTAGAGGAAGTTTGAATGTCGAACAATGTAGAGAAATACCAGAAACATCATTTCACTGGCGTGACCGTAGTCAATTGGTTGGCAGGACCATTCTGGCGACATGGACTACCACTAGTCCATTGGAGCATTAGGAAAATGAACAGTATTTATAATAAGATTCCGGCCGCAGAACTATAACATTTCCCGACAATTCCGAATCTTTTAAGGATGATGATTCCACAACATATTCAAAGAAACTGAGAGACTATTTCAATTTAAATGTGGTCCATTTTTTTCTATTACCGTTGTCGTGCAACGTGACAGTGATGTATAGTGTAAGTTATGTTGTTACCGTGTCACACTATGGATATTGGTGGAATCTGTATAAGTATTTGTTAGTACATCGTTTCTAAACATTTTGGCATGTATTCGTTCTACTCAATTTATACAGTTATGTTAAGGTATTATATCATTCTGTCGCTACAGATGCTTCTATACTACATGACATGCATAATACACAAAAAGGCTATCTAAGATGTTTGTATAAATCAGACGGATTGCTATGAAATTAGATGTCACATTTTACATGGTGAAAGATATATATTGAAAATACAAGGCTCTAACATGTCATTGACTGGCATGTTTTATAAACGGTGGTCGAGCCACCTTAGCTATGTACATGTCTGATCGATATATAGATTTAAAGTTTTGTGTAACTGGTGCTTATCCAATGTTCTGTTTTTGTGTTCGATTCAAAAGAATTCGAGCGCCCGTATAATGAGCGTATTATCCAGTCTAATAGTGGTTTTGTTAGGGGCTTACATACGCATACTATTTATATTAGTTCTAAACAGTCGAAAATAAAACGACTTTAGAAAACGGGTTTAGGTAGACTCTACAGCAACTCGATTGCGAATTGAAAATAAAAACGAGTAATAGTTTATAACCATTAATACTTATTGAATGAATTTCTATTGAGGCCCGAAACTCGACGAGTGCTGAATGGAGTCTTTGAGCCATAGAGGCGGTAATTCAGGCCATTGACAGGTGTAAATAAAGTACATGGACCTACCGAAAATATTCCAATAAAATCAAAATACGGTAGGACTTTGGTTTTAGAGAACCATTTACAGTGAGTTAATATAGCAAGCTTTTAGTATATTTACACACAGTATAGACACATGACACCCAATAGTTGATAAAGTTTGTCCGCCTAGTTACCAGGAACCTGTCTTTGTCCTTGCAATTTTTGTTTGCAATACAATTTTAATTTCTTATTGCACATTAAATTGTTTTTCAATGGTAATGTTGGATTTTCGTAAGCATTTCACATGTTATTATTAAAACTTTGTGTATGTTATACACTGGAGCCTCGGTGATCCAGCCAGACTTTGTTTCCTGCAAAAGTGAACGGATGGAGAGGTGGTTGCATCATTAGGATAGTCTTGTAAAAGACGGATCAGCAAGTCACCAAAACACCGGATGGATAGTAGGACAGTCGTATATAGATGTTTTAGCTCATTAACGATATTGCAATATACGTCTTGTGTTAATTATTATGCTATATTGTTAGTAAGAAAACAGTATTATGTTAAATTTATGTATTGTATTGATATATTTGTTAGAAATCAATAAAGTCACATTTGATATATTTATGTGTCTGTATTTTGTAAAACAATACATAAATACTATTGTGTTTCTGTATACTGAAGTGATCTATGCATTGTTATAACCTGGTTTATTTGACTGCGTTGCATGATTGTTATTCAAATCTTATTAGACATCATTTTCTTCAACAATTACGCCATATTCATTAGCTTCCAAGATAAAATACGATGTTTGTTAAATAAACGTGTTCATCAGTAAGTTTATTGATATCTTCCGTCTCTGTGATTGGGTTAACTCTTATTTTATTATTTTAATTATAAAAAGAAAACTTACCTATCTTGAGTTAGATAAACATGATTGATAACAGTCAATTGTAGTTGAGCTCTATTTAATCTGATGGGGTAAGGTAATCGTAATTTATAATGCGTGAATTACAGCATGTTTTAGCAATATTTATCTAGGTAAGACCTATTAAACGACGTTTCGTTGATGTGGTTTTATCCATTCAGCCAGGAATATGTCACCTACTCGTCGACACAAGGAAATATCGTTTAACGATACAATCTCGTCTATGGTTCTGTGGCATCTCTTTCGCCGAGTAGAAACAAGCTATCGAGTGTGATGTTTTGGCCATTAAAGTATCGTCCTCCTAGCAGAAACGTGCTGTCAAGTGTGATTTCAGGAAGACTACAAACTATACTGAACAAGTTTAACAAACACCATTTTTGTATTGATAAAGTATTACATTGACACTTCTCACAATACATGAGTTCACGCAAACAAAGACCGTTCAAATGATGCACCCTGCCGGTGTCATGACTCCAGTGACAGTTTTCTCTGGGTTTTTTTTAAATTTCTAAGATGAAAAGTTGAAATCGTTACACACAATACTTTTCAAACTGTTTCTATTCCATTTTTTAAATTTCTTGATGTCAATTTGACCTAAATTTGACCTTAAAATGAAACAAAGAAATTTTGCCCGTGTACTTTCGAGTAAGTTCGATAAAACAGTATCTATCTTAAATTGTTCAATTGGATGTATCACAAAGTCTTTTAAACTCGTCTTCAATTAACAGCATTTAAAAATATAGTGTATTTTCACATGTGGACATGGAACATAAAAATGATAGCACTCTACGTATGCAAATAGTGTATAAAGGAAGTGCTCCCAATGTGTTTGCTTTGTGAACAGTAGAACAATCTGTCAACGACAGGTAGTTTACAGATACTCATGATAAAGGACTTAGAGTTTTGGGATATATCCAAGTTTTAATCACTTCCATTTGCACAGTCTCACTATCGTTCAATGATTGCAGTTAATCAATAAAGAGAGGTCAAGGTCAGACGTTTAGACTTATTACGAGCGGATACACAGGAATCTACCATAACATACGTTTGGTGGTCTGCTTTTATTTGTATTGAAGTAAAGTACGCTTTTAAAAACTATAACTACAGCACTCTGATATATACTTTGTCATACAATCGGATTATGAATTATTCAGGTATTAAGCAGCAGACGTTACAAAGAAACAGTACGTGTGTACCACTTAGTATGTAGATTGTTAGAGGTCACAGACAGTGCTCATCGTCAAAATATTGTAATTTAGATCGTCAGTTGGTGTAACTGTGGATTTAGTCAAAATGGTAGTTCAGATATGACATGGTGATCACGTCACTGTCTTGTCTGAGGAAGGAAACCCCGCTGGATTGGACGTGGATATATTAATAGACATTCAGTTGCAGGATTATTCTCAGGAAGGTATGTCATTCGGAATAAAGTTTATCATATTGTAATATGTTCTTTGCTTATGATTATAACACATTAAAATGTTAACATGTTGTTTATGATAAGTTGAAGGTGGTCAAGTAACAAGCTGTGTCGGTATATAACGAAATTATTTATCAGAAGGTCTCGTGCTAGACATGTAATTTGGTCACTATTCAATGCCTTTGTTGCGATTTAACGCCTTTGTAAATTGTGTACACAATTCTCAAAAGGATAATATCAGTGTGTCTTTAAGAACAAAGGAGGCACAATATAGACACTTGTACAATACAGTTCCATTTTTTTCAGTTCGCAACAATGGCGTCACAAGGAACCCCTCGTATTCCAGGGGTAAGTACCAACATTAATATTTATAACTAAACATGAACTTCTATTAGTATCTATACACGAATGCAACTTGTTAAAATTGGATATTATGATATAAGCTCTATTCGTTTCTACTGCTGGGTTAGTTTTTTTCTGCGACAGAATGTTGTTCACCATCGCGATATTAGTAAGTTGACGTGCACTGTCACACTATCACTGTGTCATAAGTATTTATTAATTAACAGGCAATAGTAACTCAAAAGGAGCTTTCAAAATTTGAAAATGTTTCTTAAACATAGTGTCTAATACATTTAAAAGTACGAATATCACCTTTCATTATCGGTTACATTATCCTTGTTAAAATAATCTAAAAAGACATATCATGAATCCGTATGCAGAGTAAAAACCTCTCTATACTATAACAATACCAAGCATAATTGTGGCATTGTATATTTCAAAGGGTTTGGTGATATCAAGGATGGTGTATAAATACATTGATCAGGAAAAAATGAAAATGGGATTTCGAAATATGTTAGAAGCAGGGTGGATTGAGGTGCATATTATATCAAGGTTTGACTAAATAATACAATTATCCTATTTAACAGAAAGACTTCCGGGTAGACGGCCAGGCAATGAAGAAGACACAAGGATCTGGTGGTGACGGCACCGTGACCCCTAAATCAGAAAAACTAGCTACACATTTCCAAGGAAAGGTGGATGATGATGCTGATCAGGAGGAGTCGGTCCCAGTTTTAACCCAGCTACTCGGCCTCAATCAAACTCTACAACTTCAAATTGAGACACTGCGGATGCGCCTTACTATCGACAACAAGAGTCACGAGAAAGACAAATATTCTGCTGTTGAAAAGACAGAGAAGAAAATGAAAGAAAAACAAGGGGAAATTGACGATTTAAAGTTGGCATTAGCTACCCAGGAAAGTAAGATTGGGAATCTCGAAAGTGAAAACAAACACAAAGTTTCGGCGATTGAGGGACTACAACAACATATCATGGAAATAAAGAGCGACATCAGTGCAAGCAGATCTTACGCAAACGACCTTCAAAAAGAACTGAGGAGACTTCAAGCAGAAAACAAACGTCTGGAGAAAGGCACAGCCTACGAGGATAAGGAAGGGCACATTGCTGAACTGCAGAAAGAGGTAGATGCACTCAAAACAAACTTGGATACAATGGAAAAGGAACTCGAGAAGGCGCGGACGATCATCACCACACAAGGCAGTAAATTAAGGCTGTTCGAAAACGATAAGAGCAACATGCAAGTGAAGTTCAAGGAGGAGTTATCGCGAATGTCGCACACGATGAGACACGAGGTGGAGAAAATGAGAGAAGTGATGAGAAAACAATGGGAGGAGATGAGGCTTCTGAGGGAACAGAACGAGGTTATGGGCCGCGACATCAAAGATATCAAGAACATACTGGTGATGACTCATCAGACCTCCAACAGGTCGAAGAGCCCGCCAGGGTATGGGCAAGTGTTTAAACCAACGCTCCCCTCTCTTACCAAGGACACTAAAAGGATACTCACCGGCAAGAGGAAGTGAGTTAGAATATCTCAAACAAGATGTGCCAAAGAAAATTACCAAAACACCACGCAAAACATGTTATACAGTTCAATTGAAACTACGCACGAAAGTTAAACGTCAATTTATTTCATGGTGGACTTGTTATCTCAATAAGATGTTTTATTTTGTTTCTCATAAACATTGATGTGATTTGAAATACCTCAAATCGTAATCACGTGTGTAAGGAAAGAGGATTAGGTGTTTTGCTCGACATGTTTGTTGTTGTGTTTAGTGCATTTTTATGATAATCAATAGTGTAAATTAAATGTAATACTGACTTAGGGCCTAATTGGACTATCAACTTTTCGATAACCAATTCCAGTTACGAAAACTATAATTGTACTGGTAAACTAGTGCTTAGCGTAAATATCGTCTTGTTTTGTAGAGGTACATTTTAGATTAACATCATTATCACAAATCACAACTTCCTTTGAAGGAAAAGGGACATATGCATGGACACTTGGGATGTGGAAGCTATCTTATACATGTACATTAAAGCACTAAGAAGTGTTTTAGGACCATAAACAGCATAGGTATGAAAAGAAAATGATGTCACCAATAACGACTATCACTCCCAGTTCGTAATGTATCTATTTGCTATTCCACAGTGTGATATAATCTCCCGCAGCGTGACGTCAAACCGGGGCTGTTTACTTTCGTGCTTGAGGAGAAACAACATACCCTACTCATGATGGTCGAGTAGGATTTATAACCATTCTCGTGACTTGCTAAAAATGTACTTGAGAGTTAACTCACGAAAATCGATATAAATTAATATCAATATTAACTCGTAGGAGATCCTCTATTATACTATAAAACCGTTATATATTATTCTGGTTTTTGTCCGATATTACGCCATGTTAACCTTGACTTTGTTCATATTTTGCTATAATTTCATCGATTTCGAGGACAAAAACGATGCTGTTCACACTTCAGTATTACCTTTTCGTTAATGGTATTTAAAAGTACCAATCAAGAACGAAAAATATGAAATAAAAAAAACTGTCACCCAAACGACGCTGAAACATAACTAGTGTTTTCCTGGGACACGACTATTCTAGTTACTACAGATCAAATAGGTAAATGATCTAAATATTGCAGCAATCAATTTGCACCAGGCCTTTTGATTATAAAGTCATCTTCAAACCAAAGCTTTGTATTACGATGCCACAATAGTCAAGTTAAGAATATACAATGTAGCTATTTGGAATGTGGTGTGCTCAATTAATAGAAGTGTTTTTTCATCAGACTAGAACAAAACTACAACTTACTTTGCATTGTTACATTCGATGTATCGCCGGGAAAAATTGTTATAAAAAATGCAGAACTGATCAAAACGTGTAATTGGTCCGAATCAACTAATCACATTGCATTTCAATTAAGTCACTGAATTATCAAAACATAGATGTTGTAGAACTGTAGCACATTGTTTTCATCATATGAAACTCACATTGGTTGATAACGTTATATTTTACTCCGTCCCCCTCCCCTATCTCCCCAAACAATGTGATTACCTTAAAGGAATGAGATTTTTTAAGCGTCTAATACATGTGTGTAATTTTAAGTAATCTTATAATCTTATATCACTTTATTTCACATAATCCGTGAAAGATGTATTTCTACTTTATATGATGTATCATTTTATGCCATATCATGCAATGATATTGGTGTAATTTTCTGTGATACAGTTGAGGTATGCTTGTTTGGAGGAATGGCGTGCGTCTTTAGATTGTTGGTTTTGTGTGTCTGTAATATTTCCCATATATACGTTAGCTTCAAGCAGATTTAAACAATATTTGGGTCGATGTGTTCCCGTACTACGATGACCGGTTACCAAGTTATCAAATACAATTTATCCATAACTCATTTATTTAAATGAATAAATAATAAAGTTTTCCATTTCATTGTTTGATTATGTTTTAAATATACAAATAGTTTTTAATAACCAAGTTGATATCTTATGTCTTCAATGTTATTAATGAACTTGTAAGTCACTCTTTTGCAAACTTTCGGGCTTAGCCCTTCGTCAGGGATTAAATATCACTGGACCTCTATGTCACATCCATCTTGACAATGATATGTAACGTTCAATGACCTTTCAGATTTGATATTCTTTTAATTACTTGATTTCGTCAGTCTATCGAAAAAATAGGCACTCTTGTTCCGATAAGTTTGTGTAAAACTGTCCCATTGAATTGGTATTTGAGATATTGCGAGTGATAGTGTAACTTATTGGCAATGCTTATGGTATTTGAAACATTAACAATAGTTGAGACGTTTCAGCCACTTACGCCAGAAATATTATTAAAAATAATCACCCTGTTGGCAATTCAATACCAGTATTTGGTGCAACGATAATTTGAAATGACGCGCTTACTTGGTCCATTAATATGTTTACGACAAGTTACTTGTGGGTATGTATTTCCGATGAAGTCATAGTGAAATGAGGTAGATCAACGGATACACACAATGGAACGAGCCCTCCTGTCACTGGGTATACAACTGAAGACTTGAAATGATGCCAACACTCGAGACAAAGGCCCTAGGATGACACCTACAGACAGGAGACAAAGGCCCTAGGATGACACCTACAGACAGGACAACAGAGTATGGTTATCATACACAATTAACATCACAATTGCTTTAATATGTCAATATTTGTAAACAATATTAACCAATGTTCATAAATTCGCTTAAATTCATGTACTCCTCTTTGGAAGTTAAACTTTAAACAAAGATAGGTTGTGATACAAGTGTTATGGTATCTAATTTCACCGTGTGAAGTTGACCAGACGTGACCTGACGGACGGGTGACGGGGTGCGATATTGCCCTCTGTTGACCTATAGTTTTATTCTCTAACAAAGAGTCTGTGGTCCAGCTCTCCGTATGTGAGCAGAGAACCGTGCGACCAAGTATCAATATGGAGAGGATGACGATGACCACTTAATAGGTGTAAAAGGCCAATTAACAGGTACGTGGAGAGTCTTACACATGCCTAATTATTCATAACACTTAGACTCCAGTTTACTTTATCTTAAAGGATAACATACCAATGGTTCATTACGGTACATTTAATACACGTAATCATAAATACAATGTATATTGCTTATCAGACCAAACTCATTTCAGCTCTGCCATTGCTTCTGGTAACATTTGGAGACGGATTGGCTGATATCACTTTGGACAGGCGATGATTTCAAAGATGACCAAGAATCGAGCAGGTAAGAAGCAAAATATTTTAAAACCGTGTTAAGTACATCTAGGACGCACAATGATAATATACAGCAACGTATCATAAGGAGGCGCGGTTGTCTAGTGGTAGGACGCCGGGCTCCTGACCGAAGGGTTGCGGGTTCGAGGCACGGCACTGTGTTGTATCCTTGAGCAAGACACTTTACTCCGCTTGTTCCAGTCTACTCAGCTGTAAATGAGTACGTGATTGGGTAGTGCCAGAATTTTAGAATGCTAGCTGTGAGCGCCGAAATGGCAGCATCGGCTGTATGCTCCCCAGGGAATTGAGAACGATATTGGCTGGTTGCAAAGGCCCTATAACCAAGGATAATAATTTGTGAACCTCTTTGAGACGACCTACAAACTAGGTTGTGATAAAGCGGTATATAAGAACCTCGAATTATTATTAATTTTAAGTTTTTCACTTCTGTTGTTAAATTTCATATAACTGTCCATTAAACAAAATTAATCAGCAAAAACAACTTTTACGGCAATTTTAAACATTGTGTCCTTGCTAGGAACCATTACAAAGTTTGATTTTATACATGTCTTACGAAGCTCTGGATTATAACCTAACGCAGCCATACCATTAATTAAGACTGCTGATTACAATATCCTTTATAACGTTTATTAATTATTCCCTGTATCATACCATCTCTAGGGGTATCATGTATCAGCAAGACGGAACCATCAAATGATATAGCCTGTCGTACATAACTGACATATAAGGGATACCTACGTTAATATATTCCTGTACAATACATGTACAGTGTCACGTGTTGGCCATTATATTTAAAGGTCGAATTAGATACAGATTACCTATAAAAATGTTAATTAGAAATTTTGATAAAAAAAATAAATCAAAAGACTACAATAGTATGGAAATACCCATATAAATAACTATAATACATATAATTGTAACTAGTAATGTGACTCATTTCACAGTGTAGTTCTCGGCGCTGATTAAGTGTGTTTACATGGCAGCCTATTGATCTCATTGAAATGTTATAGTTGTGTATTGAACATTTAAAATCCGAGTCTTCAGCCCGTCAGTGTCAGAAGAAAGAGTCCACATTCGTATTTGTCCCTGGATACACCCGCAATGGAGGCCGTGTCACCGCTGGGGATCGCTCCGTCGGCAAAGCTGTGTACCTGGCAACTTTCGCCCAGTCTTACTTTCGCTCTTCGTCGGTAAATTCTCCATTCGCCCAGTCATAGTTTCGCCCTTCATATTAAATTGCTATTGCTTTTAATTTGTTTCCTAGTATTTGCTTTATGATAAATTCGCCTTTATTACGGAGGTCGAAAAAGTTCATCTACGGTGAACATGTTCCTGTTTACGGTATATTCAAATAAAAAAATAAGTCGTACGAATGTTCTGTTTAAATCAAAACAAAATCAAAATAAGAAAGTGATTATTATATACAGTGAAACATGTTTATTTTGAACATCATAAGGAATAAGTTCGTTATAGCAAGGTTATACAGGTATGTCTCAGGCATATGAACTCGTTTTATTATTTGAGAACACATATTACGTCATCATAAATCAGAATTCGTCATTTTCCACTGTAACATTTTATAAATTGCACACATGACATTTATAGAAGCTCTAATTCTAACGAGAAATTTTAGAAGGTTAAATAAAATGTTTGCCTAAACGGTTTCTAGTGAATGGTCGGTATCACAGCTATGTAAAAGCAGACCGACAGGTGTGTTGATGCTAAAGAGAAAAGCAAAACGCACATATCACATCCAATGAAAATGGAAAGAAATGTATTAACCCGATAGATAATATTTGTACTCCTGTGCCTGTAGGGTGTATTTAAATTTTCGAAGAATGAAAATGTTTAAAATGAAGTGTTAATTATATTGGATTCATTAACTTAACCCATTTGACGTTCTCGTTTTGATTATGCAAATACATGTGTTTGTCTCTATGCACTCTTACAGACCCACTTTTGTGTCATTATTCATTTGTAAGTTCAATGGGAATTTTAGCCTGTCCAAGTAAAAACGAAACGCCATATTGAACACGCAAGGACAAAATCTTAGTCAAAGTCGATACAAAAAAAACAAAAGCATTTCCTGTCCCACATGTGGCGTCTGTCCAGGTTTGTATCCTGTGTATACATGTTGTGTTTTTAGACATAGACACGTCGAGAATACTTCTAAATGAGTTGACAAACATCCACTTCAGCTCTCGGTAAGTACCCATCCCATGGAGTGGTAATACAGAGGTATCGCTCAGACTTGATCAATACGTACTTAGGTAGGTAAACTTTGGGAAGCTTCGATCTCAACCGTGATGTCATGGTCTGTTGGTGATTAGGAAGGAGAACATGGATTGTGACACCTGGACGTGACCAGGAACCAAAACAAATGGTGTGACCAATTGCAGGTAGGTAATTAACTAGGTAATGTGTGACTACTGTGCATCAACATCTCCCACTGCTAATATATACTGTCACCGGTCGTAGCGGGCCTAGTACCATACGTTTGTCGGGTAGATATATTATATTATATGCACCACTAACATGCGATGTTACTATCTGATTACTTATATTTCTCGAGTAACATTTGTCTCTAAAAACGAGTGGTGATCATATTTCTGAAGAGTTGATGTCAAGTATGTATTGGCAATGTGCGTATTTACTGTATACATGTTTATACCAATGTGTCCCCTGCCATGACAGAGATAACAGAATGTATACGCAATATATATATACAAACTTACACAAGGCAAGCACTGACTTGAAGCCATGCAATTTAAATGGTTTAAAGATCGCAAATAACGTTACACATCCATTTGTAGGTTGTTTGTAGTGCTATTGAGTCGACATTTATTAGATACATAGAACCTTTCAACCCCTCTGTAGAAACACGTCTGGCTCGACATTTGGCCGAGACGTGCTCCCCAATTATATCATTTAACTCTACTTCAACAGTCACGGTAATGATAATCACTAACATTATTGATATTTCAGTCTCAAATATTTTAAAACCGGTTATTTCAACGGGAGCAGGTGGGAAAAATTACATTCAGCGATTGTTTACTCCATTGATTAACATTACACGCTTTCAGGTTTATTTCACTTGGTAAGAGTAGTATGTTAATGGCGATCTAGTGACACGCCACAATAAGATACAGTTAAATTACATTAATTGGTTTGTGTATGACATTTCTGTAAGTCTAAGATATGTCAATGATAATCTGACAGGAAAACTCGGATCGGCTAACACCGTAACAGCCAATCAGCAAAGAGACGAATTGGAGGAAGGATTGTATTGATATAAGAGTAAACCTTTAACTTGTTTAAGTAGTGCATTTGATATAATTCAACACATGGATATAAGTACATATAGTGTCTGTTTGACAGAGGATATACTAAACTTCGATATACGAAGTTGTCTATTTGAAACAGTGTTAGTCTGAAGACAGTGTCGATTATCCATATACAAAGTGGTCTGTTTGACACCTTAGTAGGATGAGGATGTACCTAGCTTTGATAAACGAAGTTGTCTATTTGAAACAGTGTTAGTCTGAAGACAGTGTGGATCATCCATATACAAAGTGGTCTGTTTGACGCAATGCCATCTCCAGGACGCATTTAACGTTCTCTGTCATCTTGGGGATGCATAAAATATTCAAATATAAAGTTGGTCTATTTGACACAGTGTTATCCTTGGAATCACTTTTACATTTATATGTAAAGTCGCTGCCCTTTTGAAACATGCAGCTTTAGACTGAAGTATCAGTGTTGACGGACGTGGAGTTGGTTTATAAAGTGGCTTAATTGCCATTGTGTTAGCTTGATAACCCCACATTTGACACTGTTTAGTTGGATGCACATTACTCATTGGTTTACGTGCAGTGTTACCTGCTCGGTGCATTACGTGGGGTCGATAACACAAGCTGTACCAAACATGTCATACATGTCGGCTGATAAGTATATACACCTCTGGTAAGTGTCAAACATTCTCTTTGTTATATCCGGTCTATACTACTAAAAGCATGTTCCGATCAGCATTGGATTTTTGTTGATTTAAGTTTTGTCCACAACATGAATATTTATTACTTAATTATATTAATACTTTCTAAAACATGAAGAAAAAAACTGTTGATTAGATCACACTTGAAAATCAAAATATATGATATTCAATTGTGCACAATTGTCAATTGTAAATGTGGGTCTGTCTGTGTGAAAAGATCGTGTACAAATAAAGTTTACTGTATTGTTAACTGCAGTTGTTAACATTATTCTCCATACAGCACCTTTCCATACCGCAATACTTAGACCTAGATTAGAAATCCCCAATCTGACATGTAGCGTTCATGTCTAGGAACCAGTGTCACAATGACGTCAACACAAAATGATCCACGTCCTGCTCTGTGAATATGATCTCCTTTAACTTTTGTATACTCCAATTAAAGATCTATTTTCAGCAAAAATAGTTCTACAATGGTCCTCATATCTAGACACAAGCTTTAACAGATACATTTGTTTTGCTCGTATTACAATTTTTATGGGTATATGTTGTAGATATGGCTGCGAGTCGTCCAGTTGCTAGAACTAGAAATTCTTTTCTCTTCCTAAAGTAACCAGTAGTATTGACAATTTATTATCTTGTTGACTGCGTTACATATTAATGTAAGGTGCGAAACTTCATACATAATATATGTATTGGTATAAACATCTGTGTACATAATAGATATATAAAGTAAAATAGAAACAATAGATATAGCATAGCCTTATTCAACAAAGAATGATAAAAGATTAATCACAACACGAAGTCGAAATGAACACACATGAAGACAATTCAAATACAATTTAAAAACGTGGTACGTACACATGTAATAAAGATATCTTTACAAACTTAATTAGAATATTGATGGTTAACAGTAACGAAACTGAGTAGCACGTTTATGAAAATACCGAAATCAGCTGGACTCTTTATATTGCGTTTTAAATTTATGTTAACTTGGTTGTTATTCCTTAACGCGGGACTCATGAGTCATTCATTATGTATAGCCAAAGGTACGTATGTATTTGAACAATCCTTTTCACAAACAGAATAAAAGTGAAATAATGCAATCTATAAACAGAGAGCAAAATAGCATGCACGTCCCATCTATAATATTTAATTAATTACCTTGAAATAGAGAAACAAGACAGGAGAACAAATGTGACATTAATACTAAATTGTATTCAGCTTCATTTCAAAATTAAACCAGGTTTTTTTGAACGAGTGCATATAGACAATTTTTATGGTCTCTTTTACCAAAAGATACTTTACCTGTTATAAGATAATAGGTTGTTCAAATCTGCAAGGACTGCAATGTTCCTTCTAAGATGTAGCTCGACCATTTGCCAGCTCTGTGCTGCTTTTAGAAGACTAGACGCGATTGACATCAGTGTAATCTTACACTATGCTCAATCTGGACAAACATAAAACAGATAAGTTCACTTCACATTTTCTACACATATCTGACAATTAGGGCCCGTATTCATGACACCGTTTTCATGCTCAAGCATGGAATGTGTGATCAAACCATCTTTCATGTACACGCTTAAATCATGGGACACGAGTGTAAACACTGAAAACGGTCTTCCCATAATTCTTAAAAAAATATTGACAAATTATCTTCCCATTTAGTAGCTATTCACCGGAACAAGAAATTAGCAACTCTAGAGGCTGCAGACTCTATGTAGTATAACCTTCCAGATAAACTCTAATGAACTGTCAAGCTAAGGTTTACTCCACCTGAGGTTAAACTAAGATAAATCATTGTCTACCACGACTAGAGAAGTGCCCTATATCGTTGGTGCAGGCAATGCTAATCATTACGAAGTACCTGGTTCGATTCTTTTGCGGGAGTCTACATGTATATTGGCTGAAATTGTGTTTAGGTGTCTTATCAGAGCCTGTCATTCGTATCGAGTTTGAGTTTTGCATTTGTCCTTGAATGTCGAAGCTGTTGTATATTGTTTATTTTCCACTTTATGCAATCCTTTTATTTATCAAAACAGTTATACAGTATTTGAACATTGTTTTCTGTATCTTGCAATAATAAAGATCTGTATATATATATATATCAGCACTGTAAAACTAATCTCTTGTTCCCCCTGGTACCGATACTTCCAAAGTCTTATACAACATTCTATCATCAACAATTAATTATATGTACCCAGTCGCTTCTAATTCATAAACTTACAGACTTACCAAGAAGAGCAGTTTTATTACATGACAAACAGATTATACCGTCTTCTGGAATACCTCCAGAAAACCAGTTTAACTCCCAAAACCATATATTCCTGTCCACTTGTGCACTGTCGAGCTGATCATCACTGTGAGGAGCACGGGTTTGTAACGCAAAGTAATGTCACTCACAGCTGCCGACTGCATACTTACGTGTCAAACATCGCCTATACTTGTATGTATATAACATAGGATTGGCTGCATGGGTTGGTCTTTGGCAGCACATAATACCTCAGAAACCATACAGTATTTAAAGTCAAAAATTATTTTAATACTATAGCATTACATACGTTGATATTACGATGTAGACGCTAGTCACGTAATATAATGTTTATGTTTGTATAAACTTTATATGCATATATAATGTATGATGTAATATGATTAACTGACGTTAAACCTTCTTTGATAATGGACCATATGCTCTAATACTTTAAGTTTGACCTTTTGACGCGTAAGAAAGCACCGCTAATCGTCTAAAAGAATTAAAGTTCAAGATCGGGATTGTAGTATATTTGACATGTTGGAGTTCCTAGCATAAAACCTGTGGTAAATGAAAACCTCGGTCATTTTGATTGAGACACTCAGACAGCCAATGACTATTTCTATAGGGATAGTCCTGACTGGACACAGGGCAAGACATGGGATCCACTTTACGGAAATATATCACAGTGTCTACACTTACCGTGGTAGGTCGTTCCTTTGTGATTTCTGGGATCAAATTCACATGTAGTCAAAGGAGTAACTGAAATCCATTTTCTCTTGAATTCGACCTATTCCTCTACATTGCAACCTAGGGTGGTATAATTGCACTAGTATCCGATGTTTGCATACCGCAATTAAAGAAAGAATTTCTGTTTCAGGTCCTAAAATGGCAAGTGGAGGTCAAGTCATGCCATCACGACCAGACCTCAGCATGGATCACACTAGGGTAAGCAAGATAATGACATATATAGTAGGGCGTAGGATACGATGATTACTTCTGAATCTTCTTATGATAAATCAGATGAGCATTACCGAACCCGGTTGTGAACTTGGCTGGTTTCTTCTATCTGTTATATGCATCCCTTTAGTATTTATTGAGCATTGAAAATAAATTCTTAGTTAAGAGTATTTACACAGTAAGTTTGTTTTTTTAATCCACAAATCTATGTTTTGTTTTGTTAAGGATGACGAGCTAGGAATTCAGGGAAAGGGGATGGCATCCAGGGTACCGGAGATCGAGATCACTACACACACCCTGTCTCCTCAGAGCTCACTGTCCACTCCAATATCGACCTCCCGTCCGTCGACTGGGGAGATGACTGACCCCGGGGAGCCACTGGGTGCTTTCAATGTCCCTCCTGAGGCCATAGGCGTGCTGGAGACGGTTATAAACCTCAACAAGACACTCGAACACCAAATTGAGACGTTGAGAATTCGAATAGACGTCGAGTCTAAGCAGCACGAGCAAGAGAAGAAGAAAATGCTGACGGAGAAAGAGAGGGCGCTTCGGGAAAAAGAGGCGGAGATTGCCGAGCTGCGAGGTTCCGTAACCAATCGGGAGGAGAGAATTGATGTCCTTATACAGGAAAAGGACGATCAGGATCAACAAATCTCTGATAAAATGGACGAGATTAACGGACTACGTGATCTCGTACAGCAGACGGAGGATTATGCTGATAAACTTTCCAAGAAAGTCAGCAAACTGAAGGACGTTAAAAGGCATCTGGAATCCGATACAGTATATAAACACCAAAATGAAGAAATACGAAAGCTCAAACACGAACTTGTAACAATGAAAGATAGACTAAATTCTATGGAAACAGAATTGATGCGCGCTAGAAATGTTATAGAACAACAAAGTAAGAAGATCAAGATAATGGAATTCGAAAAAAGTGAAATGAACATGAAATTTCGAGACGATTTGGAGAAAGCCTCGCGAGCGATGCGACAGGAAGTGGAGCGTATGCGTGAAGTGATGAAACAACAGTACGAGGAGATGAGGAATCTCCGAGAACAGAACAAAGAAATATCTAACGACGTCAGAGACATTAAGGACATTTTGTTGAGCAACAGGCCACCTGCGCATGAGCACGTAGCCACCCGAAGCAGTCATAGAGAACAGCTGGATGTGAACCAGTTCCCTAAGCCCAAGCAAGGTTCACAGACAGCAAGGTTCAGTAATGTGAACGCAGGTCCTGGCACACTGAAGCCTCCGACAAGGGCGTCTGTCCCGAACAGTGTCAAGTCCTCCCAACAGGCTCTTCCCGCGATATCCAAGGACAAAACATGGATACCTTCCGGTCAAAGACGTTCAATAAATGCATTATCTGCGCGCAATAAACGGAAGTAACGTTTGTATTTGCTTTTTTGTGCAAAATCTTCCGGAAGTTAAATGCTTCAGTGCTGTGTATAGGAAACATGAATCGTTTCCGGTCAGAGACGTTCAATAAAGGCACAATAAACGGAAGGGATGATTGTCGTCGGATTTGGTGTAAAATCTTCCGTATGTTAATCTTTTCCGGTGCTGTTTATAGCTTCAAACCGAAATGATTGCGAAACGTCTGACTTGTTTAAAGATCACCATTAGCGTCTAGTTCCCAAGGGATTTAACTGAAGTCAGCACTAAGTTACTTTTTTGAAGCTTTGAAGAGCTACTGCCTTGCTGTTATAGTTATGAGAATCGATGTACCATAAATTAACGCAAGATTACACCAATTGGATTTTTAAACGCAGAAAGTTTGTGATTGGAGGAGAATGCTGGTTAAGTATAGATGATGTAGACGTTTGAACAGTAGCTGTTTTACCATAGAAGTGCCGAGTATCCTGTGCCAAGAGTCTGAGTGATACCGATTTAGTGTGTACAGCTTGGTTCCGGTCACTAAGAAAAACGTTTTGGAACGTTTAAAAACGGTCTTATTTTATAACCCAGATTCAAAATACAAGTACTGTTATTCATTTTATATAGTAAAATTTTCAATATAACTCAGGGGGGCAAACTTACTGTTTACTTATATAGCTAAAGGTTCTATGATATTGGCATACGTACGCACCGTTTTCAAAAGTTCAATAGTGTTTTCCTTACTGAACGGCAGCCCTATACAATATTTTAGATAATCATAAATATGTCTGATTATAGAAGATGAGAACGAGATTTCTGTGATAGAAGTGTGACTGGATACATTTTCTGTGATAGTTACACCAGGTATGAATTTATATGAATGTATTAATAATATAATTTTATTTCTTGTTTTTATTTTCTTATATGTAAACAAGTACAGCAATTGAATAACATGTTGAATATTCCTCTCGTAACGTTTCATCAAATGTCTGGGTCTACCGCTTACCATACGACGTCACTATATGTAGCTCTCTGTGTTGTTCCTTTCCTCGGTCGATATCACTCTATCAGGTTCATATAACATCGTATCGACCTCGACAAAAGTCAATAGTTGATCAATATTATTGAAACAGGAAAGAGAATAGTGTGCTTCCACCGGGGATCGAACTTGCGATCCCTATGTTCTTAGCCGGACGCTCTACCACTGAGCTAAAGGGAAATTCCCTCTAGCTCAAAGCTAGAAGGTGACCTTAATCATCATTCATTTGCATCAAGACATTGTCTGATTTTTATTCATTTACAGATATCGTCTTAAAACCATCTTTAACTAAGCTGTTGCTCGTATGCTGAAAACTATTATTTCAATGCTGGTTATAACACACACGCTAGAATCAAGTGAATAAATAAATAAATTTCAACAGTTAAATATGTTATAGAGATTTTGAATGACGAGCTAACTTAACTTTAAAAGCTTAAGAAAAAGATATCTCTGTTAATTGAGGAAATATTTTACCGGGTACAAACACTCGATACATCATATATAATCATAATTATGTCTTTAATTCGGTTAGAAATATCTTAAATTCATTTTAACATATTCTATTACATTAAAAAAACTCTTATACAGCCCTCCCCTTTTTTAATGTTAACTTTGCTTGCCACAGTTTTAATTTCGCCGATATTTTATTTTTGTTTAAAATAATTTTGTTCCTTTTAAGTATCAGCTAGTTGTTATGATTACGGTATGTTACAAGTCCTAATTAATCAATTGCTTACCGTTTCGATCAATCGAGCCCTTCATATCAATCGCTGTACTGACTGTGCAGTTATTTCAGGGGATGCTGTGTCGTTTGATCTGCTGGCGTATTATTGGTTACAGTTTCAAACGTTTTAGACAATTCCACGCTATAACAAAATGTTAAATTGCTATACGTTTTATTTGTTGATATTTGTTTCATGTGACAGAGTTTGTTTCCGACGTTTACTGACGCATGAACAGTCCCGATACTTGTGTAGATTGTGGAGTTAAACCGGCTATGTGAGCCGTCTTTTATCTCCATCCGCGTATATGGTTTCCTAATATTAAGTAAATGGCATTTCGATAAAGGATGTTGCCGACTCTTGTTTTGTATAATTACGCTAGAGGTTAGACAAGTTTTGTTAAATTGATCTCAACAAACAACCTGTGATCGAAGGTCTGCGTGTAGTTTTGAGTGGTTGTCATGTGTTTAAATATAATATATTCATGGACTGGTATTGTTATAATTATATATATACAATCTATGTATGAATATTACAAAATCAAAGTACATACCGATTTTTTTCTTCTTTATTACACATTTAGCACATTTAGTAGGTTAATGAGATACGTGGAATTTGTGAGCATTTCACTTACATGCATAATGTTAATGAAATAAAATAAAAATACTACAGGGGCCAAAAATGAAACAATAAGGAGAGTTGGTTTACAATAAGGCCCCTGGTAACAGCATGATACGAACGTTAACATCTTCGAAATCAGAGAGCTACACCCGCATATACATATATATGAAATATGTAACAGAAATGTTTGGTATCCGAACAATCTTAATTCAGTACATATCTGTTACTTATTTGATTTGTTTAAAATCTTGTTTTACATGAAAACTTATTACTTATAAAGACTAACTTATCATTTCCTTATTTGGTGCTGACCTCATAAGAGTCATATATGTATGTAAAAGATTTCCTCATTTATATTATTTTGTACAATAAATGAATTGTGCATAACACAAAGTTAGCGGTTTTCTGTTATACAAGGGAGGTAACTCTTGGCACCGTGACAACTTTGAATGTTTTCATCGATCCAAAATATATTCGTACCCAGACTCGATTGGTAGTAAAACAGGACAAGAATTTACATTGTTTGTGTTTTTTATGTTTTTACTTTTTTTTTCTGTCGATTATATTTGGAATTGTAATCGTACAAAGCCGACTAGAGCTCAATTTGCAATTTCACATGAATATATTATAGCAAAGTTATACTGGGGCTGATCTGAATTAAGAAAGCACTGGTTTGGATTTTGAAGCTAACAGATTTGTTTTGAATTTTAATTTAGGATAGGAATGTGAGAGAGATATGATAGTTATGATGGTCATATTTAAATAAAACTTCACAATTATATATCCTTCAAAATTAACAGTCTAGCCTACCCAGGTACAGTATCTCCGTCCCAGCATGCACAACCTTTCTTAATTTCACGATTGCAGGATGAGAAACCATATGATTAAAGTCCTTTTGGTGATGCTGTTCAAATAATAACATGATTATCAATAAATGTCAAAAAGGTCAGCTAAATAAGAAATGCCGTCAGGGTTAGCTAAATAAGGAATGTCGTCAGGGTTAGGTAAATAGGAAATGTCGCAGGGTTAGCTTAAAAAAGGAATATCGTCAGGGTTAGCTAAATAGGAAATGTCGTCAGGATTAGCTAAATTAGAAATGTCGTCAGGGTGAAATAAATAGGAAATGTTGTCAGAGTTAACTAAAAAACGAATGTCGTCAGGGTAAGTTAAATAAGGAATGTCATCAGGGCCAACTAAACAAGGAATGTCTTCAAGTTAGCTAAGTAAGGAATGTCGTCAGGTAAGCTAAATACGGAATATCTAGTCATGTATATACATATTAGATACCCTTTCTTGGTATATTAGATACCCTTTCTTGGTGATAACAAGGAAAGCACAAGGTACTTTAAAGTTAAGAAATATTGTCAATAACAACTTATGCTGACGCAATGTTGTCATGAAGGTGTCAGTTATATAGATGATAGGAATGTCGTAAAGGTTAGCTCAATACTTAATCTTAAGGATAAAAAAATGGCGTCATGATCAACTAAATGCAGGTCCATGTTGCACCAAGCTTGGTTAGAGTGAACCAGCGGTTAGGGAACAAATTCCGATTGGTGTATTTAACGATGATTTTTGCTTTAAAACTCCTCGTTTCTTAGAGGCGACATTTTTTTGTTTGCATTAACCAGTTGTTAAACTTATCCAACGTTTGAGCAACTTGAGCCATGTGCCAGTTAGATGTTGTAACGTCGTCTGGGTCCTCTAATAGATAAAGTTGTCGGAGTCCGTTGTCGTCAGGTTATCAACCAAATACGTAATTTCGACAGTGATCAGCAAATTGGTCTAAGTGCAATCTAGTGTCAGTGTTGGCTAAAGGAATTGGTAATGTTGTCAATCGTCATCTAAATAAGTGTTATGATAGAGGTCAGCGAAATAGGTCATAACACCCTGAGGATTGTGATAGGACACCAGTCCCCTGCTAGTTCACTAAGCACGGATGATTTAATAATCTTATCTGGATCAAATACTCGATCGGGTGTTGACTCTGGCGATCGATGATGAATAAGTGGAATTAACTCCTGCCCGATACTGAGGCTGAGCCTGATTCATATCGGCCAGATGATTAAAGCAGCTGCTGTCTTGTTTTGAGAAAGAAGAAAAAAACGAGGTCCGTGTAAGTGTTTTAAGGAGACGTCAAGTAAGTTGCCAAACTTTGGTCCGTTTAGTACGGGGTCTCAAGACATCGAACAGAAAGTTACCAGACTGAAATTGGCATTAAGTTTCTATAAAATGGCGTTCATTTCTGGCTACCAGTTATTTCATGACCAGATTATTCAACATTTCAAAATCAATATTTTTTTCTCAAAGTCGCACAACCGAAACAAAGCTCATATTTACTTATGTTTCCGGGGAAGTAGTTTTGCTGCCTTTTTTTGTTTACACTTCCATCACGGAACCTTAAGGTTCCGGTTACATGGTACATGACCAATTGGGACCTATTGGGGTGGGGGTAAAGTGCATATAATAGAACATGCATGTATATATATTAGATACCCTTTCCTGGTGATAACAAGGAAAGCACAAGGTACATTTATTATTCTCTGAACAAAGTTTTATGGTGAAAATGAGGGTCCACTTTGAATGGAACTAAAAGCAACTCATTCATGTTTCAATTAATTCATTGATGTAATATTTTGAAAACATATCTAAATAATTGATTTTGACTAAAATAATATGTTTTAAAAGTATATTGAATTTGTCAAAACAGAGAAAAGATATGTCATTGACTGTCCTCCTTTGACTCTCAATATCATGGCTCGCACGGGGTCTAACGGATTTCATTTAAACGTAGCAAGTCATGTCGGTCGGACCTCTAGACACCTTCTGCAAAAATAAATGGCCAAACACATATGGCACCATGCTTTACCAGCATAGGTTCTCCTTGCATACGTGACGAGTTGATACTAAACGTGTCATCATATATAAATATACCAAAAAACCTGATAAAAATGGAACAACACTAAGGCTACAGTTTAAACGCCCTACTCGGTATACCATTAAAACTTTATAGTAGAATAGGGAACAAACATGTGAGTGAGGATATGCTGCGTCGAGAAAATGTTTACTCTGCTCTTGAATATTTTTCATACAACATTTCATCTTGTTATTTTATTACGAGTGTAATAGGAAAGGGAATAGTGTGCTTCCACTGGGGATCGAACACTCGATCTCCAGGTTCCTAGTCGGATGCTCTACCACTGATCTAAAGGGAAACTCCCTCAAGGTCGAAGCTAGAAGGTGACCTTAATCCTATGTACAATAAAACCTACCAGTCCACACGATATTGTTAATGTTATATAACAATCATTTTACAATAAACTGTATTTTTTCCATATACTTTATAGTGTGTTTTCACAAAATGTACATGAACAAAATTTAATATTGTTCTCGGCAACACTTAAACATGTTGAACATCATTTTGTCTTTAACCGCACTACATTAACAAACCGTATATATACACATTAATATACCAGATACTGACAGCATTTAAAACGGATGACACTTTACTTTATTTCACACAACATTTCATTTTGAAATTTTATTGCTTTATACACAAACAGTGAATGTATTGAACGATTCAAGACCGACTGGTCCCTTTGTCAAGCGTTGACTGAGCGATTTATTTGTGTATACCAATTAGGTACCACTATACAAAACGAAACGAGTCTGTACATTATTTTACCTTATACCAATACAACACTCTAACGTGTAGGGTGAAACATTATATCACATATATATATTGCACAACCCTTAGACCATGTACTGTATATCATGTAATATTTAGAACAATAACGTACACCAGCTACCTTGTAACTTACACCCAAGTAACATTGGATTTAGGCGTGTTCTCTACAAATTTTACCATATATTGTAAACCAGTATACATGTATCTTGCACAGTACAAGATTATATAAGATGTACTATTATACAGTAAAAGTATGGGGTTGAGGGATATGGCAATTTTCTTGTGTCCCGAGACCCCGAGGCGAACCCCCATACGTTAACTGTATAATAGTACGTCTTATAATGTTGGTACTGTGCAAGATATACTGGTTTAAAATATATGGTAAAACTTGAGAACATACTTAAACCGTTTTATTATACCGATATACACTGGAGAGATAGTTTTAACTAGAAAATATTGGTAAACCCATAAACT